AGTTTTAATGCTCTCAAAATTCACAAGTTCGTCATGCACCTGCTATCCAATGATTAACAAACTTCTGGAACGTCAGTAGGTTTAAGCACACATCAATTGACTGAATAAAACTTGGTTGAGGATAAGACTTGCACAAAGCAGAATGAAAACGATAAGTAAAAGGTCACCAACATGTCACACTGCGCAAACGCAGCACAGCGAGAGTGAACTCCGGTGCCTATGGCAACCAAAACTTATTAACATACTTATTTGTATGGAACGCCTGTTGGAGCTAAAAGTACAAACAATTAATTATATACACATGTACATGTCACTACAATGCTGTTAATTGTTACAATGCAAACAAATTGTGTTTCAAAATCATATGTATGACACAAGTAAAACAAACAGCCTACCAGTATTCATTCTTTAATAATTGCTGAAACACATGTCCGTCACTCTCGAAAGGTCCACTTGTTCTTGGGACTGAAGATTCTTCCTTTTTCACAAGTACTGGGAACAAACTCGTATACAAAGCTACTGAATTCATAACAAGCTGACTTTAGCTGTGGATTTCTTCTTCAGGGCCCTTGGGGGGCTGGAACATTGAAATACCTGTTCCGTGAAAGGAATCAGTGGCTTTAGTTGAACTGGTGTTGTGGTCAATGTTGTCCACGCCCGAGGTGGGAATTCCTTTAGCCGAAGATTTCGATGACATACAACATTCTTTGCAACATAGTGATACATACAAAATTTCCCAATGCAGTTGAGATGCTCAAAACTCTGTCATAGGACACCGACAGACCTAAATCAAAGAGTGTGTCCACTAGGTTTCTCTTACGGGTTTTGGCATGCACCTTCATCCCAATATAGACAGGCAGAGGAGTTTCTCTATTTTTGTTATGACGGGGACTACATGTACCGGTACTTGTCGCGTCTCTACGTCGAGAGTAGCTGTTGAACTGCAGCAACTGAGCCATACTGAGGGTGATTTGGGAATCAGTGCTTTCTTCCAGCTCACTGTTATTTGGACCATTGAGGATCATCGATACAAGTGCTTACAATGAGCGGAACACAGTCTTTTTTGAAAGAGGCAGTCAACTTCCCTTCCACTTTAAGCATGTCTCTTCGAACGATATGTGCTGCCTTCGTAAGTATGACGGCTTCTTCATCTCTGTCATCATCTTTATAGGCCCTTTCCAAGGCGATTTCAACATCCTTGTCGAATGCAAGCAGTATATCCCTTCCATATTTTTGCCCTTGCATATCTTGGAAATGTGCAAGAATACGCTCTTTCAGTCTTGCGCAGGCGCGTTTTGTGTTCAACTCCAAGCTGCCAGAGGCGGTGGACATACATTCGGGACTCGGGATACATCTGCAAGCCTAAAAACTGGAACTGTATCTTGATCATTTCTGGCTTCTTCTATGTATGCTTTTATCTCTGCAAATGCAATATCATGCCCAATGCTGTCAGGGCAGTCTTCGCAATATTTTCTCTCTAGTGATGTTACTATTTTTTGTACAGTGAAGCCAAACAGCACACATGGTATTTTGCCTTCTGTGCTACCATATCTGCAACACTCAATTTAGCTAGCAGACGATCATCCTGCAACTCGGTGGAAAACCTGCGGACACGATAGTCCAGTTCAAATGTTAACACTTCGTGAAGTTGCTCTTGACGAAGATTCTGATCACAGAAAAAAAACCAGATCGCCACATCTGGTTGAGGGGCATCCGTCCTCCTTGTGTATTTCTTTATCAAAGAAGATTCATCGTTAAGTTGGCATCGTTTCTCTGCTCGTTTCAGCTTAGTTGTGTTGAATTTCAAAAAACAACTCTTAAGCCACCTAGCCTTCTTCGTAAGCAAAGTAGCGGTAAGTCCTTGCCCTTCATTGATCAATCTAATATCAATGTCGATAGGGAATGACTGTAAATTATTGAAGTCCATAATGTTTTCAGCAAGAGTATGATACCCAGCGCCAATATCTGCACGGGTTGACTCATCAGGACACTGGACTGGTTCAGCTCTGATCTCTTGACAAAGAACACATTTTGTCCAATATGTTGACGACACAGATGGTTTAACAGTACCCTCCGTTTGTGGATCTTCATTTGAAGTTTGTGCACATTGGATTTGCTTCAACATTGCTCTTTGGTTACTTCAATGCTTATGAGTTGGAAACACCACCTTTTTTTTTTTACATAATTAGAGATGAGTTGAAAGGTACTGCATTTCTGTGAAGAAAAAAGATAAATAAAAGTATATATGTTTAATAAATTACTTTGCATATTATCTGAAATAGAGGGCATTGAATGATTCCCTAATTGTTGTCATTGTTTTGTTTTATTTATCTAATTACTTATTTGTTATATTTGTACATTTACTTTCGCAGGGTAGCCTCATAATTTAAATAGTGACAGCCTTGAGAGTTTTATATGAAATAGCAACATTAGGGATAAACAAGCATCTCAATATAAGATTATCCAAACAATGACAAAATATGAGAAACAATATTGAATAATCAACAAATAAGTTAAATTAAAAAAATACATGTAGACCAATAAATAATATAACAGAACAGAAAATATATTTAACAAGTTGTTCAGAAAAAAAAAATACAGCATGAAAAAAAACATTCATATATTTTTTTTTTAATTAAAAAGGTATAATCAACAGAAATAAACAACATTTAAAATGACAAATTGTGTAAAGTTTCATATACATGGAGTAATAGAAAAATAAGATTATAATCAATTTACCTTCGATAAAACTTGAAAAATAGGCATTCCCTGAACAAAAGCTGGATAAATTCATGACATACAATGTTTGACATACTGATAACAAAGAAAAAAAATCAAAAAAAGTTACAGGAGATTTAAAACCTCATTAAAGGACTCAGCCACGGTCGTTGGATTGTGGTTGACTTATTCCATCTGAAATGTGTGCCATGCAGCAGTTTGTCTTGGGAGCACAACACGTACACCTTGTTGTTTCAGCACTACACGAAACATGCACCACGAATTGGAAAAAAAGATGACATATTCTGCAAATCAAGTAGGATTTCAGTTTGAACAGTTACTTAATGTGACTCCGACTGTTTTACTAGAATAAAACAAAAGTAAAATGAGTACGCGGCGGAGGCTCAAAATGCTTCATCGTGACTTGAACTTTTAGCCTGCTATTCATCCGGCCACATAGTGTGCATGATGGGGGCGCTGAATAGTGTTCCGGTCTTTTAACAAAAACATGGGGGACCGGTTACTGCTGCGAAAAAGAACTAGGCCTAGGCCTAAATCCGTGAAATCATGGGTATAATTAAAAGGACCGCTGTATAGCCTGAGTTGTCTATTTCACACACAGTCAGAAAATATTAAAAGGCAAATGCCTAGGTCTACTGTTATGGCGATATACAAAGGCAACTCTGTCTGTTTTTTATTTCGCGGGCACCCGCTTCGTGAGCAAGAGACCATAGCACCCAACAATCTTTTCATAAACATTTGTTGAGAATCTGAAGTTTAAAAACCTATCAATGTATTATTGAGCACATTTCTCTTTGAACAAGATTCATTCATCAGCATAGCAGGCCCTGCATACATGTACATGGCATATGCACTTGCCCACACACTGGGTCTACAATTTAACACAGAATTGCAGATGAAAACATGCTATATCCTCCAAAAGATACATGAAACCATTATCTACAATAGAATCTAATAATAAATGTTTACCTTTATACACATATTTAGCCACAAAGTATGACTAATTCATCACTATGAAGCATTTAGACCTGTCTCAGCAAGCGAATAACTTTTCACGAGACTCCATCTTGGTTTATCTAACAGCTTAATTACGTAGTCTGATGCACTGTTCAATGTACTGGTATTAAAGCTGCGCACGCAGGCAGGGTGCCAGAGCACATTATTCATATGTGATAAAATAATGCATACTCCATAAAAGACATAGGAAAGAGCACGTGGTTTCTGAGGTAACAAAAAAGCAATAAAAGAAGGAACATTTCAATTTGTTATGGATCCACATCTGAAATTATATATTAAATATTATTTTACTTCCCTGCAGCAAGTAGTGCAGTTAAGGTTGGCCCTTTTTTTTTATTTGGGCAGAACATGTACCACCCCCATTTTTAAAATGACTGCCACGCCTTAAAAAAGGTGGATTTATAAAGACTCCACATCTGATTTTTATTTTTTATTAATATATACAAACATATATACCTCCATCTGAATTTTTATTTATTTATGAAAGGTGTTTACGTTTTGTCAAGGTTGGCAAATGAGCCCCGCCCCCTTTTTGAAAATGGCTGCCACGCCCCAAAAAGAGTGAGTTTACTAAGGCTCCACATCTAATTCTTCCCCCCCCCGTTAATACATATGTCTGTGTAAAATTCCATGAATTTATGACACAAATGGGCACTTTTTTAGGTCAAAATAATGAGTTCCCCCTTCTTTTTTTTAAAGCTGCCACGCCCCTAAAATGGTAAATTTCCAAGTGCTTCATTTTTTTTTCTTTTTAGGTCATGAATATGTATGTCTGAACGAATATTCATGCATTTATGGACGGAGGATAATTGTTTTTTAGGTGGGCATAAAAACTCCCCCCCCTTATTGTTAAAACAGCTGCCACACCCCTAAAAGGATGATTTAGCGATGGCTCCACATCTTAAAATGTTCTTCTCATGAAAATTAAAATTTGTGCCAAGTTTTATGCTTTAATGCAAAAGTGCACAATTCATCGATATTTTGTCCCATATCCGCTGGACTATTTGGATCTGCCAATTCTCACACTGTTATGCTTCAGAAGCATATTAGTCTTATGATACAACAACAAATGTTAAATTATTTCCATTTTGTTTACTTCTAATTGATTCATACCTCACAGGCAAAGCCAAAGCCGAAGACGAAATCAACTATTTCGAAAACCCTATTAATGATAACAGCTTGGGTTATTGCTTGTAAACTTTATATGGTACAAAATAATTCTTCATTTTCATTTTTTTTGTTAGATACATGTTCCAAAACAACCTTTCTTCGATCGGAGAGAGACCATTTGCCACCGTCAATAACACAATCAAACAGGTGTAAGTACATTAATTATGCAATTTTCTAATTTGTTTGCTTCTCCAAAACGAGTCGAGTATTGAACACCACCATTTTGTCATAGCATACACTTTTGGGTTTCATATGTATACCCATATCACTTTTAAAGCCCAAATTTGTATGTTTGCATTTGCCGGTGTCACGGTCTCACTTCTCCGGCGTGCTGGATTCTCCGGGTGAATGCGGCAGACAATTGAGCACGTTTAAAAGTGCACGTTTCATGAGCACGATTCATGCTCATGTGTCTGCTGTGCTTACTTTTCCTCGGGCTGTGTTATGGAGTCTACTCTACAGAGTCTACCAAGTCCATAACACAGCTAGGGACACCCAAGAATGTGTTATGTAACACTTCCTGTGGGTCAAGCTTATAGAGAGGAGTATGGGAATAGCCTGGGTCATTCCATGGTCCATGGTTTTGCAACAGCGTCGTGTGTGGGTGTACAGGCATTACATTCACTGTGTGGACTTCCGAACAAAAGATGTCCACATAAACCAGGTAGAGGAGACACTGTGTGGACTTGGGCAAGTCCACTCAGTGATTCCCCATTTCTGGAAAACAGGTTAAGAGGCATTTTTGGGTTAGGTTTATCCGTAGCAGAATGAAGAAAAACACTTAAGGGAATCATAGAAGAAAAAAATGGGTTGAAAGAGTTTTCACAGTTTGAGAAAAATGAGTTTTTTTCACTGTTTTTTCTTAACTACACGAAAGCCATGGAAAGTCCACACTTGGTATGTAACGTAAATTAGGGTGTGGGTGTGTGTGTGTGGGTTTGCTGGAATTTACTACCTTACGGAGACATGAACACAATAGGGAACAAAAGATTGTATACGTCTCCAGAAGAACATTTCTATAGATAAATACGTCTCCACAAGAATTTCACGAAATAGATTTTACTCAAAAACTAGGAATTTCCAAGGTAGGTTGAAGAGTTTTAGAAAAGGGATATTTAGTCCAAATTTCAGCCCAGGAAATTAATTCTGGTTAAAATAAGAGCATTTTGAAACTTCAATTTCAAACTCAAAAACTTTACTACACGAGAACAAAGAAATGTCTCCACAGGAATACAAATTCCAGAATGTGTGTGTATGTGTGTTCATGGAGGAATAATTAAGAACGCATTCCTTGCTCGTTCGTGGTTGTCTTTATTTTTGCAACCTTCCTCCGTGATTTTTGCAACCATTCGTGTATCGGTATTGGGAGTTGCGCGCGCCACGGAAATTCTGGATTCGACTGGTACCTTGTTACGTATCCATTTATACATACAAAGATCTCACGTGCACCAGCGAAACCCCAAAGAACGAAAAACCCAGCACATAATAATGATGACAAAATGTAGACAACTGCGCAATTTGTGCATGCGCGTAGAGGCGAAATTTCCCTCTGCGGAGAAGCTAGCACGCCGGAGAAGTAAGACCGTAACACCGGTCCCAAACACGTTAAACGTGTGTATTCGGTTTGATGTTACATTGCTGGTTTCGCCAATTTGCCAGGTTTTGATAAAACACTTAGGGTTAAGTATTGATCGGTTTTTACTTTTCCGATTTTTTTCGCAGATCGTTGTATGGCAGTCATTTGACAACGATTTCCGATCTCGTATGGCAAGATTTGGGCACCAACTCCTATGTGTAAGTTACAGTTTGCGTTTTCAGGTTTCCGTGTTCAAGTTTAACCTTCATTTGAACTACCGTGCTGCCAAAATTGTAACTGTTGTTAATTGTTCTTCATGTTCACTTGTTTTTTTAATTGGCACAAATCTTAGCTAAGCACAAGGATTGACCTCATAAACTCTTCACGTGCCTCAGTTATTTAAGTTTATGTACGTATACACCTATTGTGTATAACAATTATTTGTGTAGTTTCGACCACAATACCTTAACATTATGTTCCTTTATTCACAGGGCTGTCGATAGCACCCTCCAGTTTGCGCCTGTCACATGCCGGACTGACCTGGAAATGTAAGGATCGACTGTTATGACGTAATTATTACTTGATAGTTACTAGATATTTTGTTTCCTTCTTCTATGTTTCAAAGGGCTCATATATTAGTATAAGTAAGAAAAAACACCGAAATGTTGGGACAATAATTTTAATGACGTTTTGCATGTAGCACTTTCAAAAATATAGGATATGAATACCAAAGTCATGAGTTTTCTTTGAGTACAATGATCAATCAAATCACATTCATCCCATACACATTCACATACATCCCTATGTGTTTTGTGTTCGTTTTGCTGGAAGAACATTTGCCTTTTTTTTAGATCCGTGTCACGGATCATGATGATGTCAAATAGTTGGCAAAAATTCGGGAGTAGAAAAATTACATAAAATGTGTTCCAAAGGGCCCTGTCACACTTCTGCGTATCCTAATTCCTTATGAGTTGCGCATTGGCATTTTTTTCAAACGCAGTCGTACGCACAATACGCAACCAAAATGCATCTCTATCGTTTTGTGTAAGTTTGATGTACGCAGGCATACGCATGGTACGGCCCAATACGCTGGATAGTTTTAGGCATGCACAAAACTACGCTGTGTACGCTGTTACGCAGGTCATAAGTTATAAATACGCAGCGCATCGGTCCCGCATCGGTCGAGTGCGTTACGAGTACGCTATGTGTTCGTGACGAACCCCATCAGCATATGAGCCGCCTGTATTGGACGTATACATAGCGTACTTGCAGCGCAGATGCAACGCACGCTGAACGGCGAGCGGCGGAAATGCGGCGGGAATATGCTCAGTAGTGTGTCAAGCTCAAGCACACGGTCGGCATAAGTCGGGTGCGTCCGGAATACGCTCGGCATGCGCACTGCATACTGACCTATTCGCAGCCCGAAAAATAATGTTGTGCACTGCAGACGCAACTCATACGCATCTCATAGGCAATGGATGTGCTGAATGCGTTACTTGTACGTGGGAAGTTCGTCGCACATAAGTCAAAGTGATCAAAACATTTCGACGTTAATTGAGTGTACGGCGCGTATATAAGGAACTCATAAGGAATTAGGATACGCAAAGGTGTGACAGGGGCTTTAGGTAAGTTCATCTTAGACTTGACCTATCTTGCATTGGCTCAGGGTATTATAGTAAAATGACACATCCACCTTGTGTTAACTTTTGTACTTTCCAATTTCAGTGAACAGGTTGGTGACGGGTTTGCCCTACCGATACTTGTATCGGAGGAAATCGCAAAACAATTCAATAAGTCTGGATTCTCCTGTTCAAGACGAGACTTAAAACTTGATTCGTGGCGATGTGTGCCCTGTGCCCAAGGATATTATGGAGATCCTTTGAACCATGTACGCTGTAAAGCATGCCCAGCTGGTACGTATGATGTGCAGTTTTTATATCTTAAAGGTAGAGTTTTTATTACTCTTTTCAATGACTCGACTCAAGTCCGACTCGAGTCTGACTCGAGTCACCATTTTCGGTGACTCGAACCAACTCGAGTCCCAAAGGGTAAATGAATCGACTGGACTCGAGTCTCAAAAATGAAAGCAAAACTGAAAATGCAAGCGAAAGCAAAAACAAAACAATATTTGCAATGTCTTACGCCGGTGCCGGTTTTTGTTCACGACACGTAAGGTTCGCAGACTGATGTGTAATCATACATACGCGGTTTGATCAGTGTCCACGTTAGTTATATTATGGCGATCATTTTTCACCCCCTTTTTTATTAAGAGTCAAATGTGGTGTCACCACATGTAGAACACAGAAAGTAAAATTACAAAAGCCAAAAAATGCTTTTCCCTCTCGTGTTTATTTATTGTATCGGGTTCAAATATTTGTGACTTGATTTGACTCGAGCTAATACATGATTCGTCTCTACTCAACACTGTGACTCGACTCGACTCGACTCGACCTTCTTGACCTATGACTCGACTTGACTCTAGTCACGTCTTTAAAACGACTTGACTCGACTCGAATCACAGAAGTCAGTGACTCGTTACAACTCTGCTTAAAAGGATATAGTGTTCTTGAAGGAAATAGGGGAACAAATCACCGTCTCTGTAAATGTTCATGTCATTACGCAGGTTAATCGCTTAAAGATTATTTAGGTGCACTTGCTGTTTGTTCCACCCATGGGTATGTGACAAGCATGTGAGAATATAGCTAACGGTCTAAAAAGTTTCATAGTTATGGGAATGCACGGATTAACTTGTAAAGAGGTGCCTACCCACAAATTCATTACGTATTTCCTCCACTAGAGACTCCTTACAGAAAACAGTAGATCTAACTGTCAACTGGCCAGCACTCTTATCTTTTTTAATCCTTTGCCCAAACAGAGGCTTAATAATCCTTAACACTTCTACAAACACACCTCACCATGGGGGGTTGTCACTCATTCATTGTGAATGTAAGCGCTCAGGCGTGAAAACACTGTGAAAATTAAGGCATGTGCATATGTACATGTACATGTACGTGCACATGTATGTACAACATGTAGTGCAGTTCGTTTCAGTAGGGGAAGTTGAACATTAGAGGACAATAGGGTCCCCAGTTCCCAAAGATTTGGATTCGTGTACCAAACATAATGGGGGGAGTCTTTCTGAGTACAAGCAAAAGAGGGACAATGGTGGTTCCCCGATTGAAGGCTAAACACACTTGTACGAGAATGCAGATGTGCACATCCACATTGTATCTTTCAATTGTTAATGCATAAAACCACCCCAAAAAAAAAAAAATATCTGACTTTTAATACACATGTTGGTTTTACTTTGGGTCTGAAATTGAAAAGATGTAGGCCTACATACATGTAGTTCATTTTCAGATGGGCTGTTTTTTGGGGGGCTGTTTTAAATACAAGTTGCAAACATTTTAATGGAGCTAAAACTCACCGAATTTGTGTCAAATGTCTTGCCTAAAATAGACAATGTTTGAGGTACATGTAGTTTGTATATTTTTAAAGATGTATTGTGAACCACATTTTGTTCATGTTCACCCATTTCTGACCTTGAAAGAAAATTGACACTGTTGAGTCAAACTGTTAGCTTCCCTTAAGCTTATAATATGTGGCCCAACCTAAAGGGGTCCATACTATTACATGTACCGTAATTTTCGGAATATAAGCCGCGCGGCGTATAAGCCGCAGCACGCAAAAATCTGCAAATTAAGATTTGAAGTCGGCGTATAAGCCGCACCGGCGTATAAGCCGCACCGACCGCTGCGGTTTCAATTTTGTAAGGCCTCCAAATTCTAGTCAAAATGCTCTGAACCAGTTCCATTTACACTACAGAAGCTATTAAAAGGACCACAAAAGTTATATCAAATCATTTACAATCGATACTTTTACAAACAAATGGGGAAGTGATGAGAAATAAACACCGGGAACTGCTGCCGGCTGCCCCGTCATAGCCCGGTATCCTGCGCCACGCACGCAGGTGAATGACAACATTTTCCCACAGCGCGTGAGAGAGTATGAAACCCACCGTGTGTTGTCTGACTGGAGCGCTACAAATCTTGCTTTGTGGCAACAGATGCTGATTTGTTTTGTCCTAAGAATAAACAGGTCCGTTTTTACCTCAAAACTTATCAAATTGTTGCGATTAGTTGCGAGAAAAATTCAAGTTTCGATCGTAACTTTCTTCGGAAATAGTCAAAACGAAGCCCGGACATTTTAATGGACGATTCCATTAATTTTGTAAGGGGTGATTTAGTCCCTCTATTGAGTTTTACATCGTTTCTTGAATACATTTTAAGAAAACAAAATATATTGTGAAGTTGAACAACTGATTATGTAATAAAAAAATGTTTCGAACGCCATAAAAATTTTAGTGGTCTTTTTTCTTTTTTTTTAAATAGCGAAAATATTGGTAATTATTGTTCCCAAGAAAGAACACCCCTTTGTTACCACAAATGGTGTGGTCCGCTGTTGTTAAAGCATGCCTGCATATCGCTGCTGCACTGGGTTTACCCTGCACTGTACCAGTATCACGTACGGCTGGTGGCAAGTGTCGAAGACAGCTTTCATCACCGTACTTTTTTACCGCTCGGTACCTTTACGTGAGACGTGGTTTCGGTTTGTTAATGACTTTCTTAATTTATAATTCATTTCAGCAACATATCTCTTCTTATACCAGTACATTAAATACACATGTGAATTTCATTTTTATTCTTCAAGGCTCGGCGTATAAGCCGCCCTGTGAATAAGCCGCAGTAAACATTTTCATGGGCAAAATCAACGTATAAGCCGCGGCTTATATACTCAATAATTAATGTTTTCCTCCGGACACTTGGCCTCTGAAAATCAAAAAACGGCGGGGGGGGGGGGGGGGGGGGGGCTCGTACCATACTTTCAATGGCTGGGGGGGTGCATTTTTTGTTCATGAATTTGTATGGAAATTTTTATTTTAGAGACCCTTGTGGGTGCCCCCCCCCCCAACATGGATCGACTGGCAGGGGACATTCTGACATTTGACACAATGTTTTGTATTAATTCATGATGGCTGTTGGACAAATGGGGCATGGAACTTATGTAGCGTCGGAATTATGGACGGAAAAAAAGTACATACATGTACATTTAATTGTCTGACCCGAGGCTATGAGGTGTTGGACCCACGAGGCATCGGACCTATTTTGAGGGGCCTTTCTTTGGTTAGGCGGGGAGAGAGATTTTATTGGACTAATGTGGCGTCGGTCTTGTGCGTGGACTCAAAATGACACAAACTTGCCTTAAGTTTTATCGAAAATATCTGCCGTCGATAATCTTAAAAATAATGGAAAATGCAGGTCAAGTTTGCCATATACACAATGCTAGTCACGACGAGAAACTGGCTAACAACATCTGAACTTCGCACTAGTACGAGCGTTTGTGATGCACTGTGTGTGGTGGACCGGCAATGAGACTCGTTTCACGGTATAGGATTTCGGTGAAACACACTGCATCGTTTCACTTCACATACCTGTTTAACTTCCTCAAAATAAATTCATGAACACAAGAAATACATACACGGACGAGAGAGATCAAGTTCTGTGAATAAGCTTGCAAAGATCGTCCTTCTCAATCGTTCTTTTCTTGGCATTTTTACGATGTCTATTCCGTCCGGCCTGCACGCAAAACACTGTACGGCATCAGTGCATTGCATGCACCGCGCGCGACTATTACATTGACTGGTTACCGCATTTTCATCATGCCTTCATTGGGACTTAGTGCGCGGCGCAGCGGGAACCAGTCATTGCTGCACTCACTCGTATGTACGGGCCCACGTGTTTTCATGCAGCTCTATGCGATATGCAGATTGTGCACGCACAGTATACAACCGCTGTACACACACACGATCTTCTGCAGTACGTACGAGCTCGGTGTTCGTTCATTTTTAGCGATGTCCAGCGGCATATTAACGTGAGTTTGGGCATTATACCAACGAAAAGTACGTGTAGCTTAAGACTTATAATCCTTTGCGTTTTTATCACTTCTTATTTTTAAACTTCCCGTGTTTGACGAGCCCTCTTTTGGATTTCTGAGGAGTGCTATTTTTGGTGCTCCTTCGAGACAGTCGAGGAGCGCAGTAGGAGCGCCTGCGCGATCGCGCTCCTTAAAAATGAAGGACTGGTTATGATCAACAAAAAATACAAACAGTAGTAATCCTGCAAGGAAATGTAAAAACCAAAAGATTACCTGCAAACGCAAACACTTCTAAAAATTAAAATACAAGTGTATTTATATTTAGCAAACATGCTCCATTGTTAACCACAAAATCATTACATGCCAGGAAGTACATGTATGTTCGTACCGGCGCGGCCGTGGGGCTGTAATAAACAGTGTACTCTGTGTGTGATGAAACTGTGCTGTCACTCGGCTGATAAGAGCGCCGGGGATTAGCAGCATTATCTGATAACAGGGGCTGGTTTGTTGACAAAGGGATTAACAACATAACAGTGTACCGCTAGAAGTACTGTTTTCTTTCCGAGTTTAGAGGCCCAAACTTGGAAAGCCTCTAGCAGCACAAATACGTGATGTGAAGCACCACAACTATTCGCACTGTAAAAAATCCACTGCACATCATGCACTTTTTGACTAGCGCATGTTTTTCCCAGAATCATGAACACCTGAGGTACTTATATCATGCACCTGAGGTGCCAGATGATCCGCAAGCACACATACTAGCACATACTGACTAGCACGTCTTTGTCCAAGAATCATGAACACTTGAGGTACTATTAGCACATGTTTACTAACACTGTAGCACATACTGACTAGCACGTCTTTGTCCCAGAATCATGAACACTTGAGGTACTATTAGCACATGTTTACTAGCACTGTAGCAGTGCACATACTGACTGGCACATCTTTGTCCCAGAATCATGAACACTTGAGGTACTATTAGCACAAATTAACTAGCACATACTGACTAGCACGTCCTTGTCCCAGAATCATGAACACTTGACACACTATTGTCACATGTTTACTAGCACATACTGACTAGCACGTCTTTGTCCCAGAATCATGAACACTTGAGGTACTATTAGCACATATTAAATAGCACATACTGACTAGCACGTCCTTGTCCCAGAATCATGAACACGTAAGGTACTTCTAGCACATGTTTACTGGCACATTCTGAGTAGCACATATTTGTCCCAAAATTATGAACACTTAAGGTTCTATCATCATATGTTTACTAGCACATGCTGACTAGCACGCATATCTCTGTCTAAGAATCATGAACACCTGAGGCACTATTGGCCTGTTTACTAGCACATACTGACTAGCACGTCTTTGTTCCAGAATTATGAACACCTGAGGCACGACTCTATGCACCTCAGGTGCTAGTTGACTCGACTAGCACATACTCGCTAGCACATAAAATCACAAATACTTGAGGCACTTCCATCACTTCACGTACATGTGCGTTGCGAGGGGGGCAAGGGGGGCATTTGCCCCCCCCCCCCCCGAAAAGGAAAAAAAAAGAGGCGCGAAGACAAAGTGGTGTAAATAAAATGAGTGGGGGGGGGGGGCAAAATGTCCCTGCCCCCCTCTAAAACTGATAAATCGAGAATGTGTTGAGAAATACAAGCAATTTTTGGCAAAAAATTGTTTGCCCCCTCTAGAAAAAAGTCCTGGCGACGTCCATGTTCACGTACATTAAGCGCTGACGCAGTGACATGCACCTGAGGAGACAGTTTGAAGAAAAATCAAGCGCCCGGGCTTACAACGTGCACGGAACACTTTTTCAAACACATATATTAAAACACGTTTTTAGAACAGAAAATTCTCTTTCCTAACAAAAAGTAATTCACGTAGTTAAATAAGAAAATCATCATCAAATTTCCGATTTTGTTATAAAATGAAGAAATCATGTATGACGTTATGTGACATTTAAGTAATATTTCCGACAGTCATTATTTACATCATCGCATAAACTATAAAAAGGAATTATGCCAAATTTAAAAGACCAGAACTGCACCTGACGTGAAACAGCTTAATTGACAATTATTAAATCCCTCCATAAAAATTAATTTAGGCTATCCTCTGACTACAAACGGAACTCCACCCACTACGAAAAAAAAACCATCAAATTGCCAGGAATCCCCCCCCCCCACTAACAAGGGGCAAAGTTTCAAGTGTTAAGCCATATGTTAATTAGTGATTTGTTTTTAAACTACTGTACCGCTTCATTCATTGTCAGGTGTAGGGATGTATACAGGGATGTATAACCCTAGAGGGGTTAAGTTAACCTTTTCATAATAAGTAAACTTGAACATGTATGCTTTATATATCATTTTTTAAATATCCTTTAAAGAAAATTTTGCTCTTATCCCGTAAACTTTGTTTTGTAAAAAAAATATCAGAATGACAATAAAACGTTTAGGCTCCCTACAAGAAAAAAAAATGTTTCCAGTTTCTGGTTAAGACTAGAGTAAAAAAGTGGAATCCCGATTATTATTTTTTGTTTTGTTCCATATTACACAACATAATGAGCGAGTTATGATATTCAGCTATTCCAAACCAAACCGTATCACCATGTTAGAAAACACAAAGATTAAAAGGACATATGCACATAAAACTAAAATTAACCTTCACCAAAAAAGTCCACAGTTTTTGATTCAGGGTTAACTAACTTGAAAATTGGAATGGCGATTGATTTTTTTATGGACAAAGTCTGAACTAATCCCACAAGAACAGTCTTTAAACCAACTAAGCACACCATCGACACATCACAACTTATCGAGAAGATGTGGACAGGTGTCCTCGTGCTTCCAAATGAGACTTTGTAGGTGCACAATTTGGCCTCTGTCAGGTAAGCCCTATGTAAAGAGTACACCATTTTGTCAAAGAACACTTCAGTCTATTTATTTGATACATCTCAAAGAACAAAATATCATGCACTTAGTGAGTTTCTTTAATTGTGTAGGTTTTTTTATTAATAAAAATATAAAGATGTGATAGATATCTTTTTTCCCTGTGTTTCCTTTAAATATTATCGAATCAACATTTCCAAGAAATTATACATCTTTCCATGAATTGGCAAACAGTTTGTGACATATTTTTGAATGAAGTAGAAATGGTAAGGAAGGCAGAATAGTCTTTAGGTTTGTTTTGACAAACACGTTTAAGCATTATAGTGCTATTGAGCATAATATTTGAAAGACAATTAAAAGGTTCCCAATAAAACATATAAACCACACATTTTTTCCCACAAATTGGTTAGTACTTTTAAGTTTTATACACATTTTCCCCTAATGAATAGCTCAGAACATAATCAGACCATTTAAAACTTGTACTTTGAAAATTTGAATACAAGTCTTTGCTATTTTATGGAACCTGCACATTGATCCTAATTGTTTATCTCTTTCGATTTTCTTGGTAAATTAACGGATTTCACGGGAAAGCACTAAGACTTAACATTATAGTTCTAAATATATGTAAGTAATGCGCCAATCAGATGTTTCATCCACCCCCCCCCCTCCGCGCAGCCCAATGCCCGATGTCGGGATTTGGTCACGTTTTTCATGCCACAAGTTTGGGGATTTTGGTCACTCAAATTACATTGTTACCATTGGTATGCTACATGGAAATGCATATAACAATGCGCCCCACGTATGTATGTCGGGGCATGGTCGGGGATTGTCACTTAAATTTTGCCCGAGGGGTGGGGATTTTTTCACTTCAAAAGTGACAATCCCCACATCTTGGGTGGGGTAGCCCGGGGAGGGGTGGGGGAAACAATTGATGGGCGCATAATGGTCTGTAATAATCTCAGCTAATTTCTTTAGGAGAAACTAATGAAAAATTGTTGTATATCTCAAAAATATTTAAGACTCCATGTTACATTGTTAACCTATTTCGGTTTTAGTTGTAGTATTAGGCACGTGGTTGAAAACCACGTAGGGGCCTCGTAGCCAATAATAGCCCTCACATCGGTGACCCAGCCCCTACAATATACCCAGTTTGAAAATAGATCATTCAAACAAGCCCACAGTATCATTTCCCTTTTTTTTACCTCGAGGACCTTGACCAGTTTTAGGTGTTTCACTCTCTTGTTCAGCCTACTGTCCGTCACCTGCCAAACCTGGATCTGGTCAAACCTCAAAGTCAGTCTGCATTCTGCAAGAAAATAATTACGAATCATAGTAAACTCAAAGGGGTTTGCCTTAATGTTTCCCTCAGGAGAAATGGAAAGAGTTCCATACTGGGCCACCACTCATATTCCCTAACATGACCTGAAAAGTAGCAACAATTGTAAATCGGATGAAGAAACACTGTAAGGAGTGCAAACATTCTTCAAATATTTGGGCTTTTTCTGTCATGGCCCAAAGACTTAATGCAGGAGGTCTGAGTGGTGGCCCAGTATGGAATTCTTCATTTTTTTTTTTGCCAGGATCAGAGCAAATGAACAAACCTAAAATGTTCATTTTTTTGACTGTTCATAGTGCCTACTAATATTCTAGCAGAGTACAATTGTTTAAATGAGCCAAAATCTGAACATTGTTAAACAAATTAAATGGTAAACAATAACCTAGGTCTAAACAAAGTTTCATATAGAAGATTGTCTCCATTTTAGCACCCTGAAGGGCATTCATTGCAGAAATGACATGTATGAGCCACTCAAAAACATTGTCAATTTTGTTTATGATAGAAAATACTCTCCATAGACCTTGTCCAAACCGTCAAATTAGCGTCTGATAGGCCTAAACATTATTTCTATAGACCCGCTAACTGGGCTGGCTATTTTTTTTTCGAAATGCGGATTTAGTCTGTTGTCATGGGCGTCGCCAGGATATTTTCTAGAGGAGGGCAAAACATATTCTTCCCAAAACATTCTTGTATTTCTCAACAAATTCTCGATTTATCAGTTAAAGAGGGGGGCAGGGACATTTTACCTCCCCCCCCCCAAAAAAAACCCATACAATTTACACCTCTATGACTTCGTGCCTCTTTTTTTTCTTTTTTTTTTCTTCTTCTTTTCCTTTTTTGGCTTTTAAGCGCCCTCCCCCTTGAACCCCCCCCCCTCGCGACGCCCATATCTGTCGTACAACCTAACCAACAACCCCTTCAAACTTAGGCCTTGTTTTGCAATATTTGCAGACCATTTACCTCAAAAATTACCAAAGTAGCTCAAAACACTTCACAAAAAAAACACCTCAAAGCGCCTACAAAGCAATGGGGCTACATTGAACCTCACAATTATTGTTTAGGGTTGCAAATTCTTAAAATTCAACAAGTTTGGCACAGACAAGTGTGTGCAGAATGATTTCCGCGTTCAAATAATAACGGTTAACGTACGCCGCTGCATGGTCGAATGCTATGGACGTATATATGAACATGTATGCGAAGACTAGAGACACGACTGTCAGAGTCGCCTGTATTTCTAGTCCTAGTGGAACTAGGAAAGTCTGCGGTTGTTACGTAAGCCATGGTCGGAATGAGAAAAGGGTGTGAGCTCTTTGTTATGCATGAGTGATTTTCTTTGTTGCATGAGTGTGTGAGCTAGGAGGAGGAAAGGCGCGCGTTTCAGACAGACACAAGGTCCGTGTGGTGAAAGCAACATCAGCGCCGTGTGGATTACCGTTTCGTCACAGTACCACCTTCGGTGTGTTGCGAGCCGTATTTTCTATGTAGAAAATCGAAAGCCTGTTGTGCTGACCGTAAGTTTTTTCCCTTAAGTATTGTGAATATTTATATTCTCTGATGTTTTCAATAAGAAAAAGAAGGTGGATTTATCCTCATGGTGTGTTCATTCCTGAAGTTAACACTCACAATTATGTATGTTAGCATTCCAGTTTCAAGTGGGCCTTTTTAAAGTTAAGTTGAGTATTTTTATTGATCTGGCGACGGAATACTTTAATTCTTGTTGCATAGATGGCTTTTTGGAGCAGGGTTTGACCATACCCACTTCAAGTGCACTGGAGGTGCTAAAGAGTGGCCAAGAGAGGGCGCTATTGACGGTCACAGGACAAAATGGCGCAGACGCTACCTGGACCATACTGATTGCGTGAAGCAAGTGTGAAGCGACCCTGGGCCCTAACGGTTTCCAAGCTCAGTCACCAATGTATTACTACCCCAGTCCTGAAGATTGTAGCTACATGTAGACGGTGGGACCAAGCAAGGTTGGTGTGGGAGTAGAACTCGCCCCATATCCTTCGGGAGTACAGAGACTGAACACTTGAACCGCATGAATGATCAGCTGATCAAGAGATCAGATATGACATGTATGACATGTACTGTTGAGTAAAAGTGGGCATACATTAACCTTGTGGTGGGTTCCAAAAGCAGTAAATTGTTGTAGGCCTGAAGGAAGGTTGAACCCCAAAAGCTCACTTTTCTGCAAATTCTGTAATTGTGATTGTATAACATTTAACTTGTAAGTCGTTTCATATATTCTCCAGGAACCAGTGTATTACTAATACTACTAGGCTGAAATCCAAGGTATGTACCTGACTTGAGTCACTCAAGCTGACCTGCATGTGCATGTACCATTTATTTGATTTGTGTATAATTTCTGTTTGTGATCAGTAACTTGGAGTCAATAGATTTTGCTTTATTTGTTCTGTTGCTTAATTTTTAAGACTTGCATGGTGCATGCTGGGTTGAGAGTTGTTTTTGCATAATTCTAGATTTTGCATGGTTGCATGAAAGTTACTTGGTGTACTTTCATTTAAGTTATTATTTGGTTGATTGGTTTTTGTGTATACCTATATTTTGGTCTTGGTTACTTGTATAAATATATTTTTTGTTATTTTTTTTCTAGTTCATTGTAATAAATAAGTGCATATTTGTTATTCATTTAATCCTTTTGTCGGGTGTGGAATAATTGTGTGCATCACCTAGGGTGGGCTAACGACCCTTGTTTGAATCCTTTTTTTTTCTTTTTCCTTTGCTTGCTGCTTTCGCGCATGACAACGACTATGACCTATGCATGAACCTGTTGCAACACTTTGCCGTTGGGACAGTCGTTTAGCGAAGTGTACATGCACACAAAGAGAGATGAAACAGTTTGAAATGTTTAATGCTCCCTTTCTTGTCAACATTAATTGTTTGAATTTTAAGGAATCACACGACTTAGCCGTTCAATTAATTCAATCTCATGCACTTTAGTTTAGGTGCCAAAAGTGTGTTCAATCACAGCAAGCGCAAATAGCACATCTGTTAAAGTCTGTTAAAAACAATAATACTAGAAGTGTGTTGGCATGCACACGAAGTGCTATTTCTCAAATAGTTTGCATTACTTAAAGTACTTCAGATGATTACAGTCCATCACTAGCGCTACCTGTGCTATAACTGTGTACAATCACATGAGGCGCAAAATGGTCATAGCACATCAAGTAATTCGGGTACCAATAATCTATTACATGAAATTACTTGATGTGCAGTAAGTGTGTTCAAGCACATGAAGTGCTCTCAAACATCCAAAACGGAACATTGTTACAATCACATGATTGAAGCGCTTTTTCACACATTTATAGCACATCAAGTGATTTTAAATGTCTTCAATCTGTTGCATGAAATTTCCCCGTTAGGTTCAATACGTGTGTTCATGTACTTTAGATGGTATCAGTCAATCACTAGCACGCAATTAAGGTGCCTTGATTGTATACAATCACGTAAAGCGCTATAATTTTATAGCACATCAAGTGATTCAGGTGGTAGTAATATGTTACTTGAAATCCCTTGAGGTGCAATAAGTGTGTTCAAGCATATGAGGTGCTTTCTCTCAGACAGTTCCCATCTCTTCATGTACTTCAGATGATATTAGTCAATCACTTGCACTTAGCTGAGTTGCCATAAGTGTGTACAATCACCTGAAGCGCTATATTTTTGCAGGTGTTTTAAGCACGTCAAGTGTTCTAGGTGCAAATAACCTGTTACATGAAATCACTTAAGGTGCAATAAGTGAATTCAAGCACGTGAAGTGCTATCTCTCAAAAAGTTCGCTTCACTTGAAGACCTTTGGGTGCCTTTATTTGTTAATTGCAAGAGCTTGAGAGGCGACAAGTGTTTCAAAGCACATAGAATACTAGCCTTTAATAATTCTTCATCACCTCAAATACCTCATCTGTTAATTTATGTTGCTTTCACACAAGCAGTATTTCTTAGGTGCATGCAAGTGCATGAAGTGTGGTCATGATTTTTTCTACAGTGCAGCATTTTGAAGTACATGGTTGAAAGCCATACTTAAAGTCGAAGACGAGGGTCGAATGGTAGTGAGAGGTTTTTGATGGTCACTTTTTTAATACAGTTACATGTATTATCCTTGAACTTTAGGAGGCTTTTACCAAATCAAGACTGGACAAGTAGCAGATACATCACAGCCCATCAAGTGTCAAAAATGCAACAATGGAACCTACGTCACCCCAGCTACTCACCCTGGTATCAGCCCCGCAGATTGCACCGTGTGTCCTACAGGTACCAATAAAAGAATTCATGCAGGGTTCCGCGCATGCTTTTGTCTCGATAAGTACTACCGGAAAGATCGGTTTGATGAGTGTTATCCTTGCACAGACGAAGGTCTTGACTGTTCAGAGGAGTATCAACACCTCTTACCTGGATTTTGGTGGACTTGGGAATGGGGCTCAAAAGACAACTACAAAGCATATCAAAATTTCGTTGTAAACATCAGGAGCAGAAGTGATTCCTACAAAAGCAGCACGCAGCATTTTAAGGGAGTGTTGCCTAAGGTACATCCGTGTCCACGTAAGGAGTCTTGTTTAAATGAAGGTGATGGTATCAATGTCACTTGTGAGGTTGGTTATGAAGGTTGGCTTTGCTCTGAATGCAGTGTGGGGTACTATGCGTGGTTTGATCGTTGTCATGTGTGCCCAAAGTGGTGGTGGTTCTTACTTGAAGTCGTTCTGTTGTTGGTCGTGTTGGCAGTGGTAATACTCGTCATCGCTTGGGATGTGCGGAGAAATCGGGAAAGAGGACGGTCAGCCGTTGATGTGATCTTTGCACGGGGGAAAATCTTGCTGGGTTTCTATCAGGTGATGGGCGAGATATTCTCTGCCCTCGACGAGATTCCTTGGCCGAATATTCTGACCAAGTTTGGGTCAGTTTTGAAAATACTGGAGATGAATATCGTCCAACTGGTCATCAGTCCCCGCTGCTACTTTCCAGACTTTGCTTACCGCAATGTGTACATTGAGTATTTGTTTGGGATGAACTTAGTTGCATTTGTTATGTTGTCAGCATTGTGCGTCTATTGGGCCTCAAAATGCTACTTGGTGGTCAAGAAATACACTATTGAAGAGCGTGTCAAGGTATTGTCAACTACGAGGCAGAAATGTTACCTGTTTGTTATTATGCTTCTCTTCACGTCCTATCCTGGCTTGTCCGGTGTTATATTCACTCTTTTGCCTTCTGGCTGTGACCTGTTCTATCTAGATGAGGACGAGACATACAATGCTACAAGACTTCGATCCGATTACTCTATCGACTGTCAAGATGAGCAGCATGTTCATTTCAGCCATGCTGCCGAGGCTTCTCTCTGTTATGTTGTTGGCTTCCCATCCTTGCTGTTAATACTTCTGTGGAAAAGTAACAAACAAAACAAGAGGAAGAAATCGCAGGATCAGCCTTTGCTTGAATCGTCAGCAGATGATTCGAGTTACTGCAGCATCAATGATCCAACTATGCTGCCAATGAATGAAGATGATTCCACACTTAATCAACCAGGCACCAACCTCCTAAATCCCATACAGCAAAGTCAGGTGGAGATCAGCTGGATAAGTTTCCTCGCTGGAAACTACAAAGCAGAGTTCTGGTACTGGGAAATTGTTGAGCTTTCTCGCAAGATCATCCAAACACTATTTGTTCTGCTGTACGGTCCATATGATCACTTCACCATGTTTGCAACCATCGCCATATCTGTTGGGTTCCTATTCCTTCATGCATATGTGAGACCGATGAAAGATGCCACCGATAACCGTCTACAGATGTGTTCCCTCGCAACCATTTTCCTAAATCTCCTGGCAGCTTCCTTGCTCCTGTCTCAAACTGGAGGTGGTACAGAGAGAACCGAAGTCCTTGCAGTTATCCTTGTTCTGATGAACTTCAGCATCATTGTGTTTATAATAGGTATGCAGTTAAATAAAGAAATTATCTTGCACGGTGTTTGAGAGACCATATTTGACAGAGAAACAGTGATCACTTGACCAATAGTCATAATGTTATTAGTCAGTGAGCACTATCATAGGCGTAGCCATTGGGGGTGGGTCGAGTAAGGGGGTATTTGCCCCCCCCCCCCCCGCCAATATTTTATAAGTCGTGCCCTTTTTTTGTTAACAAGCGCCCTTTTTCTGATCTAGTGCCCCTTTTTTATAAGTCGTGCCCTTTTTGTGGCATCAACCGTTACGGGTGCCTTTTTTTTAAATTCCGCATATGCATCGCTCTAAAATGCACCAGTATATAATGTGCATAGTCCTTGGTTTTTGAACAGCGCCCCAATACAATAAAAATTACCTTGCTGTGCCCCTGACTATTTAATTGACAGCTGGGATGGTGCTATTAGAATCAGTATCAATTGGTTTTCTTCTATACAGTAAGTCTCCTCTGGATGGTGATGAAGTCACTGTGGCGCTCTGGTTGCTGTGGTAGTATGGCAACATGCATCGTTAAGGCCTGCTGCTGGTTTTGTCGAAACGAGTCACTGGACAGGGAAGGCAGAGGCAGACGTCTTGTGATGGCGAGCGTGGGAGATCATTCCCTTGATGTTGATGAAGACTATGTGGAAAGGCCTTACGAAGATATCATATCAGAGCATCATGAGCTTGAGTAAATTACAACTTGTTCATAAGTTCAGATTAAAAAAGCCAAGCAGATTATTTGGGTTTATTTTGTATAGGTCACTTGTAATCACGTGTAATTGCAGTGGAGGTGGGGGAATTGGAGTGCCAGAAAAGAGGATTTTTTTGGGGGGCGACATGATCTTTAAGTTTGTTTTGTATAGTTTTGGTGCAGATCAGCTCTGTATATTTTTAATGGTAGTGGGAGCTTAAAAGATGTTGAATTAGTAAAATTTGCGGATTTGGGGAGATTATCAGATATTCCTTTGAGATAATTGTGTTATTAAAGTGTAGTTATTATTTGCATCATGGACAGATAATGGTCATACATATTTGATAAATGTCAGAAAATGGTTGCCTGGTTGCCTTCTGTTTCCAATCAACCAGTTGTAAATGTGTAAGTAGGGTATGAAGGGTATTGTGACAACTGTGACATCTTCAGACTTGTCTCCCCTTTTAGACATCCCATGTTTGTATTTAATAAAATCTGGTTGTACAGGACATCACTGTCATTTGGGGTAAATTAAATTAATTACAATTAAATTAGCAGCAAGTGCACAAGTAAACTTAAATAAGAGCATGACAGATAGACAAATAGGTAGTAGCTCAAAGTCATTTAAGGCAAGAAATGGCATGCTTTAACCAAAGCACTTTTCTGTTGTGTATGTGACATTCATGAAAACGTATGATTATTTTCAGAGCCCCGTCTATTTTTCAGCTTAATCTCAACCCGGGTATAGTTGTTTCTTTACTTACCTTTGTAAATTATTTCAATTAGCGAAGCGCCTTCTAATGTTTGTTCGGTATTTCGCGCTTCCACCCTCCCGTCATATTATTCTTCACCAAAGACTCAACCACATCGTTTCGTATTCACTCTTTACAGGTTATAATTACCTTTATTAGGTTGAACGCGTAATAACGGGTCTTAACCTTAAGATTTCGCGACGGTCCTTGAGCTCGTTGCGATAGTTAGATCGTTTTTGTTTGGGTATAGCACATAATTTCTTAAAGGCTGTAAGAAGGAGAACATACGTGAATTAAGGAACATATATTTTATTATTTTGGAAGACTTTTATTTCGACACTGTAACAACGCGAATTTCACGTGCGTCATGATTTTGTTTTGTTTTTGGCTTGACATCGGTAACGAAAATATTCATAAAACTTTAAGCAAACCACTCCTTCGGAAAGATATATACTTGCTACAAAATATTGTTAAAAAGCAAATAGTCCAGAATATAACAGATGGTATTGTACAGTATTTTCCAACATATATATGAAGTATTTACCCGGGGAAAAACGTGAAATGTGACACCTTTTTCGATGAGTTATATTTGTATTTTTATATTACATTTGTTTTTATTTGATAGATTTTGTGTGTGTGTACGCAAACAAGTGGTGTTTTTTGGGGTTTTTTTTGGAATTCAGTTGTTGATATCTTTTTATGGTTATTCACGTGTTTTTATACATATTTTCATTCCTCATTTACTTTTAAAAACTTCACACTGAGAACACCGTGTACCCAAATCTCGTTTTTAATGAGGCTTTCGTCGAAAACTCGTCAGAAGAGGTGTTCCCGAACCCAAAAAAAAGGGCTGCGGATAAGTAAAGTGTCCACAGCGTTTATCAGCTTGTGAAAAGCGATTGCGCTTAATTGTTGTGAGAAGCGATTACGCTACTTATTGTATAGATATCCGTAACCCGGTAATGATAATAAAAAAATCTTAGTTATTATTATTTTCATTAATAAATATGATTATCAAACCATGGTTGCGTACCTTGACCTGATTAGAACTGACAGCATGTAACTTGTATATGTGATTGTTAAACCATGCTTGTTGGACTGTCTCATTTGAATGAATAGTGAGTGACCACGGCGCTAATTCTCTGGTGTGATTCTTTTTACAAAATTCTAGTTGTGCATGATATCACTGTCATCTAGGGCATATTAAAATAAGTTAAATAATTGTAAAAAAGCGGCGATTGCACAAGTAACCTTAAAAAGAGCACCTCAGATAGTCAAATTGACTGCTATTTATCCGCCGCGGTGTATGTTACAGTCATGTGGTTGCTAAGGCAAAGCGTCTGCCGTTGTTAGGCAAAGCTAATCCGATTACGTACTTAGACGCTATAGCCGAGCGATGAAATTCATGCACTACACAAAATCGTGGCCTTTTGAACGTTATGTTTCTCAGAAAATATACACAATATGATTGAATGTTAAATTACAACGGAAGAAATTCCAAACTTCATGTCAGTGAAAACAAAAATTGCCGTCATCGTTGCCGAAACGTCAATACTGGCTGCTGCGCTGCTGCTGCTGCTGCTGCTGCTGCTGCTAATAATAATAATAATAATAATAACTCTTTTCGCCCCAATAGGGTGACTTTCTAATAATAATGATAATAATAATAATCCGCCCCTCCCTTCGACTTTTTCCGCCATAGCTTAAACAAAAGAATTATTATGCTTTTTATGTCATGCTGTTATGCGCATCTTTTGATACCAAAAATATAAAAATCTGACTACGGGTTGCTGCGCAGCGAAAAAAAATTATCGGCGCTAGGCGCCGTGAAAACTGCATTATCCCATATACGTCGTGCACACTGAGAAGAATTACCATTCATACAAAGGCCTATGAATAATTAATTAGCCATAATTTTAAAACCCTTTGACCTCTAGTCATAAAACTTCTTGGTAATGCTCATGATGAGTTGCTCTATGCATGTACCGAGTTTCAAAATTTTGCGTCACTCGATAGCCGAGATCTTAGGCGGGGGTGGAATCCGTAATAAAGACACTCGTAATTAAGACATCTTGGTACTTATTCCTTTAGAATTAAGCTGAAAAGCAAATTATGTAGGGAAGCTGCATTAATGTCGATTTTGTTTGTTCTTGTTGAGCTCATATTATTATTGGGTCTAATATACCTACGCAAGTGCGGCATGAAATCGACACATTCCAGGCAGGAGGCCACTTGCATCCATATTTATAAGAAGGGTTAGGCCACAAAACCCACAAAAAAAAGTATACAGTATATAAGTTTCCATTACTTTAAAGTACAAACAGTCCACCATCGTCGCTTTAAAATCCATTCATTAAAATCTGAAAGCTACTTACTCTTGAAAACGTAGCCTATACAGCTGTAAAGGCTCCGCTCGAGTTGATTGGTCACGTTATCAATTGCAACAAAATTTCACGCATTTCAGGTTTTCCTGACACTTTTTCTTTCTTGGAACCTAATGGGCAGAACAAGGCACGCAGTTTTAATAAACTGATCATGGCTGTCCATACAAACGCAACTGGGCATGTGATTGTGACCGAGTGGATCGGAACATGAAGCCTCGACTCACTGTTAGTTTGGTTTATCAGCCCCTCTTCTCGAAGCTTCAAGAGAAACGTTCATGGAAAAGGTGTATTTCAAGTGTGCACATCAATTTGGTTCAATTTGAAAGCAAAATACGCCTCTTAATTAAGATCAAATCCGGAAACATGTACAACAGAGAGAAAGGATACATTTACGGTTGTCTACGTTTAGCGCCAAGTCTGTGAGTACGAGGTGTAAACAAGATTCACGCAAATTAAACCGATTCGCAGTTTTCCCTTCCTCATTGATCTAAGCATCACCCTTGATATTGCTGGATAACTTTGGCAGAAAATTGAAACGGAAACGCAAAGGATTGTGGTTTATCATCAGCAGCGCGTGAGTGTACTCAACTTTACTCATTTGCGATGACGTCATCACTAACATGTCAACCAAGCATGGCAACTGGGGGCGCCCTCAGTACAAAGTGTCTACGGGTGCAACCCAATGAATAGGCCAAAAATCCGTCCACCGAGCTCATGAATAAAAGTTATACACTTAAATTCTTCTATATAAGAGAGTTATGAGAGCCATGAAATTGGGAAATTGAAGAGATATTGCCAAGCAACTCTGAACCGGACTTGGGGCTTCCAATTCCCAGCATATTTTGAAAGCAATTGGGCCCGTAAGTGGCGTCATTTAGCCATGTTGTATGGGGATCTTTTTTTCAAGATGGCTGCTTTCCACCTTGGGAAAAAAATCACCCGTTTTAGGGGTCGTCTTCTTTGGGTAAGAATTTCTCGAAAAGTCACCCACCAAAAATTGAAAATAAAATAAAAAATGACATGTTAATCATCATTTTTCTGTGCTTCCTGAATACCTGTGAGTGTTCTCAGTATTTCAAAAAGATTTTTGAAGTATAGGGATTTAAGAGTTAAGTCTGAGTATCAACCGTTATCCACGGAGCCAGTCTCTTTTAACCGCCATGGTTTATTACATAGACTAGTATTAACACTGGTGTCTATGGGAATTTATTTGCTTGGGTGTACCCTTACGATCAGGCGGATCACAGGGTTCGCTCATACCGGCCTCCCTGCAAACGGGACGCTGGGACAGGCTGATGAATTTATACGCTCTGATTGGATAGATATTGCGTGACTTGTGACCTGCAAGTCATCGCGGCTACGACCTTGCAAGGTTGTAAACGGCCGTTAAGACTGAGTCATCACTCTTTTATTCCCATTCATCAATGTTGTTCCCATATACGTCGTGTACACGGACCAGAATTGCCATTCGTACATATATGATTAGTTAATTAGCCATAATTCCCAAATCCTTTGACCTATAGTCATGAAATTTCTTGGGTTTGTTTATGAAGAGTTGTTCTATGCATGTACTGAGTTTCAATATTTTTCGTCACTCGATGGCCGAGATCAGGGGGGGGGGCGGAATCTGCCCCCCCCCGGCTTAGAGATGGTCAAAATAACCCGGACCTTTTAGGGTAAACAACTAAATCGAACTGAATTCCATTGTTTTGGCGTCTGTTTGTTAGTTAGCTGACTGTCCGTGTTTTTATCTGCTAGTTCAGGCTAGGGATCACTTCCACATGACGTGATGCTCGGGTTGTCAGTGTAGTTAACTTATCGCGGTAGAATCGCGTCATAGCAGCTTGTGAAAATATTGTCTTATTACATGAAAAGGGACGCGGAACGCACAAAATCTGAGACAACAAAACCTAACGTACATAATTCCATACGGTTGTCTAAGGGGCGTGGCTAACTCGCAAACGGCGATAGGTCAATAGGCCTACTCGTGCGCACTGCGCACGTGCACGCAGAGCTTACACTTGTCCAAAAGTTCACGTCAAGTATCAACATGTGTGAAACTTCAGGATTGGTTGATTGAGTCCCACAAGTTATTAAGGGTTGAAACTGCCAAATGCTCCAAAATGAGCTTGAAAAAAAATTCGCCTTACATTATTAATATAATTATGCAGAGGGTGTGAAAGTATAAAGGCTGAAGTATTGGAAGGAAACAATCCAACTTCGCAGCATCAACTGCCTGTTCCCATGTGGTGCGGTACGAGTACGAAGCGATTTTCATCATCAGTCGCGGTTGCTAGTTCTGCCGAGGGTTTTGCACCGACAACTACGCTGGGTCTCAGCGGCTGAGATTAAGCAGATAGACCGCACCTATTTTTTTCATCTCGTGTACCAGCGCTCTTCGGTGTGTAACAGCTTAACGTGAGATATCGCGAGATGACTGCACTCGGTCCAGCTCCCCACGGCTGATAGTTGACGCTGCTTACATTGCTGCTTTAATCACTGCAACCGAATCGTAAGTACATGAAGAAATGTCAATTTGTTATCTCCATTATCCACCTTAGACTACCTACCTGTACAACTGACTTGGTTTCGGCCGGTCATAACACATACTCGGGTGAAGGGATACGTTCTCATAGACACGATGCGCAGGCTTCAACAATGCCTTTGACGTGGAACGAAAAAGAAGATACCGGCAAAACGAGATTTATGGTGACCATTTAGTGTCTCCGCGAAAAAAAATCCTTTGCTGGCATCTGATCAAGATGATTACGATTTCCACTCCTTGACACACGCGATTATTTCACTACTTCTTCTTTTAGTACAGGCGCGATCAGCCGCGTATCCAGCGCGAAGGGGCCTTTGCGGCATTTTGTTTTGGAAGACGGTTTTCAGACGGTTCAGACATTGATACCGTGTATTAATTTTGCCTCCCCGAGGCATAAAATGCTTTATACGCTATACTGACACAAAAATCACTACCCCCATAGCAGAGACATTTTGGAAAAACAAATTCCCCACTCATAACTTTGTTTGGGATGTAATATGGAAGAGGCTCAACTATTGCTGTCCAGACAGTAAGTCATTTTCAATCAACTGGAAAATCATTCATAACTGTTACCCCACGCAAGTCTGGCTTTGCAAAAGGAAGAAGAGTGATTCAGAAAATTGCACATTTTGTCATGATAGTATTGATTACATTGAACACTTTTTTTGGTCGTGTAAAATAGTAAAACCCCTTTGGAACGAAATCGAAAAGATGCTGCATCTAAGTATGGCAAATCGATCAGTCTGTTCGTGGAAAATATTCTTTTCGGGGTCGGGGAAACATACAATAGTTATCGGTTTCTGAATACTGTAATTAATATAGGTAAACAAACAGTGAGTCGTTTTAAATTTGGCCAGTATTCCAACCTTATCATCCTTTTTGAGCAGGATCTCCAGCTTCGTCATGTCGAGTAAACTGTTTTGTTAGAATTTTTTTGTTGTGTGTAATTCAGTAGTACCTATAAAGCAGACGATTAACTGTGCATGTACATAGATTATTGTTATTTAATTGTTGATTGTATCTTTGAAATAAACAGAAAAAAAAAGTTTACAAAATGTACAGTAACTAAAGACAGTATTAAGTGCAAATATGCAATTTTCTGACATTCGAATTTCTTAAAAAAAACATTTTTTTTTATTATTTACTAAACTTGTGCCTGTTTTCCGAGTTAAATAAAAACGTGAATATGGTTAATAGATAGTGTGGCGGGACCCCCCCCCCCCCCCCCCCCCGCCGGCCAACCTTGTTCGAGGCTTTAGTGATTCGCCGAGGGACATGATTTATGCAGCAATAGTCTTTGGTTGTTGGAGGTGTTGTTTCTCAGTGTTTGCTAGAAAATAACCTAGAGAGGCTTTGTTTAATACATTTTCACGTTCACAGAGCTCGGATAAAACTGTTCCGTTTTCAACATTCGAGTTGGGTATGGATGACCATGGTAAAATAAAAAAGATGGGACTCTCAATACTGTGAAGGAGAGCCCCAAAACTTAAGATAGTAAACACATACAACCCAAGAAAAAAAGACTGGCACATGAAACAACCAGTCTAGCACCCGTTAGTAATGCATCAATCAACTGTGTCAAAAGAAACGTATTTTCTTTTTGAACTATTTCCCTATAGTCATGTTACCAGAGTACTGAGGAGTCAAGAATTAACTCATCACCGATTCACCTATTATAATATGCACATTGAGAATCTAAGAAATACAAATATTAAATAATACAATCTGTTCACTTTAGTTTAGATATAAAAGAACTTCAGAAGACATAGGTCTAATTAGAGGAACGATTGTGATTGGTCAATGTGGGAGTCGTGAGCTTGAAATTTTGTTGCTGATTGGCGAATATTTGCAGGTTTACATGGGCGATTGTGTTAATTCCATAAAAGAGTTGTTGAAAATGATGATTCTTAAGCCTATACATATGGTGGTGTTACCAATACATGTCAGTATAAAGCTTCCTGCTACTATTCATGCTAATGCGAGCGAATATTTCTGGGAATACTTCGGGGAGGCTCGTGCCGAATTCGCCAAGACTGGATTTGGTTCGTCTCGTCGATAGCGCCCACTCACGTTGATGTCAGTTGGTTGCACTGGGACAGACTTTAAGTAGATGAATATAACCTGCAAATCCAGTCCTGGGCCAAGACTGCCACACGGCATACTGATGGGATTGTGTACATATTTACGCCCACTTAATAATTAAGTAGCGTGACGTAAAAATGTGTGAATAACGCGGTGGTACCGAGCAGAGTTTTAGCCCTTCTCCTTTCTCGAGAAACCCCCTCTTTATTGGAAATTGTCTCGGTGTTTCTGACCCATTTCCCTTAAAGAACGGCTAAAACGCGCTGTCCGTGCCCTTCACCGGAAAATCTAGCCCGGCGGATTAACAGAGCCTGTGACAGTAACGTGTGCTAGATTATCCACTGAATTCATCTTGAGAGATAAGCATACCTTATAACTGAGACCGTTACACTGGCTTCGGGTCGACCTGCTGTTTGCTTGTGCTGCGATAGAATTTTAAAGGTTCACCAATCACAACGCGGATTTTGCCTAGTCGCTTCCATTTTTAAAAGAAGGACGAGTAAGGAAAACGTAAGAACAAATAACTGTAAGTTCAGATGAAAAATAAGTTCATACACTCAAATAATTTGTTGAATTAATTTTAACAGTAAAATTAAAATGAGATAATGTAAGAACAATTAAGCAGTCACGATCTCGTGGAAAACTAGACTCGCATTTTGTGTTTTTAAATTGTGTGCAAGCATCTGGGCGCGTCGACGCGTCCGGGTAGTAGCCACGCACGCAATAAAAGGCTGATGATTGGTTGGAATTTTGCTACTGGGGTAACAAGCACAGCACAAGAGTCATGCTCGGGTCACAAAACTGAGAAACCTGTCACTGTCTTGGAACAAGCGGCATCTCGACACAGAATAATCATAACCATGCTCATCATGTCACCAACTACGCAATACAAATTAGATGCTCCAACTGCGCGCACGACGCAATTACTTCAAACAGGTCTACTGAGTTTGATACCTGACTGTCGGGAATTACAAGTTCCATTGTGGCGCAGAAGTTCACATTTGTTTCTACTGTTGCGAATGTTGCTTTTTGTAGCACCACACTCTGGTCGAAAACAAATGACGACTGAAATTGTTCCCTATTCCCTATGCATTGCTCAGACGACGTAGCTTTATCCTTAAAAATCAGTCGCCGACTGTTCCGTGTTGATCTGAGGGCCGCTTAGGAAACAGTTCATACAAATAATAAGTATAAGTGTCAATGCTGAGAAAGAGATGATTTTTTTTTGCAAATTGTTCTTTATGAACTGAATGGAAAGAGGGAGTAAGCAACTAAAACAGACCCCTTGAATACTTGTACACTCCTTGTAACTAGTTCTGCAGTAGAATTTGGGGATTTTTTTGGAATTTGGATTGTTGTTATCAGGTTTCCGTGACTGAATGCAGGTGTAATCATGGCAGATTAAACGTAATCATATAGTTTTCCCCAAGATTTAATGATGCCGCAAAGACTTCATACGAACTGCTCATAGTTATCACTTGATAAACCGAAGTATTCTTGTGAAACGCAAGGGCGGATCCAGCACACAATTTGTTGGGGGGCCAAAACAAATTTTGGTCCCCCAAAAAAGTGGGTCAAAAAAAATACGGCGTGGGGTTCGGGGCCCGCGAGGGCCCCGAAAATGTTTTGGATTCTAGATGCTCTGTGGTGCGATCTGAGGCAATTTCTGACCACTTTAACCAATTTTTTTTTAGGAAAAGATGGTGATGTACTCATTGCCTGCCTTTATTGCGATGTCACATTAAAAAAAAAAAAAAAAGATTGGTTTCGTTTTTTTTTTTTTTTTGGGGGGGGGGGCATGGCCCCTTTGCCCCCCCCCCTGGATCCGCCCTTGGTGAAACGAACCTAATAGTAAGACATGATTTCAAAAAAGTTGAGAAAGTTCCAAATATGCCAAATTTCGTTTGCACCAATTATTTGTTTCATGATGTGCATGCACTTTTTTTTCCAATGGACCATGTACCAGCAGGATGATTCATCATGTGTTCCTGACTTCCTCCCTTAGGCCAAAAAAGGTTTTGGTTTCTGGCATTGAGCTTGCCCCCAAAGCGATGCGGCGACGTGGCTTTTATTTTTTTCCCTACTTTTTTCTTCTTCAATGTCGGCTGATGCTGCAGATGATGACGCTTCGATCCCCTTAAAATTCTCAAAGTATCCTTCAGGGTTGACCTTCAGGCGACCTTAATAAGACCATAAGGCAAATGGTGCCCGAGAATGTAGATAGTCAAGAAAAAATCAGAGAAAACGGTAACGTCAACGTCAGACCATACAGCGACATCGTTATCGTGCCTGTGCTGATTCACGACCATCGCTTCTACACACACACCTCTGGCTTCAACACACACAACACAAAAATACAACACCGTCTGCAAATGGTGCCCGACTATTCTGTGCAAAATATATGTGAGCCCAGAAAGGCCACATAAAGCCTATACTCGTTCGTAACCCCATCTAAAGCACGTTAAAATTGTGTATCAGCAGGATTCCAGTCGAACCAGTGAATTTGGCGGTTTTGAGACATCATCTTACATTGAAAAAAAAAACTGTTTAATTTTGCCGACGCGCATGGCTATGGCGACGCGCGGAGACCTTTTTTTTTTTTTTTTTTTTGGGCCTTACGCACAATCTTTCTGAGGGCTGCGCTGTCATTCTACAAAACCAGCGACATTGAACAGTTACTTACCATCACTGATGGAATAACTACCAACAATTAGAAGCATAGCCAGAACATAATTTAGCGTCACATAGTTTGAACGCCGACGCAGACACTATAAGACAAACTGAACATCACCAAACAGACAACTATGCATTACCAGGGCACAGTTTCCATGGTAAATGTCCTGGAGGCGGGGAGTTAGACATACCAGTGGCATTTGCTTTGCACAGCAGACACGAGCCAAGCAATATAAAAATAGTCAAATGGCTTCTGTTCCTAACCTTGCTGCAGAGATTCCTTTTAGGCAACCTCATGCGAGTATGAAAACTGCCAAGGGACGTCTCATACTTTACATTGCTCACACTCTCTTGTCCAGCTGCTTGATTCAGATGAAGAACTGACATGAACTTGTGACCAGACTTGTATAGACTCAAATACATCACTACTTGTCTGCTCTCTTTCTATTTTATTTAGATCCATTTTTGTTTATACTTTGAGTGAAGTGACTGTTATTGGGCAATGACACTGAAAACTAAATGTAGAAACTAAAACAAATCGTGAGTTATATAATAAGCTATAAATGATGGTGTATACTTTAGAAAGTAAGCAACTTATCCATTTCCCTACAGACACACAAGAAGGGAAAACAAGACGGCAGTAGCCAATCAGAGACAGTTTACTAGAAGTCAAGGCCAAAGCTTACACAAATAAAGCAATAATTCTGAATGGTCAAAAGAAAACCTCTGAGGCTCTTTACATGCTTGTATTGTCCAGGTAAATATATACCCTACAGGAAACTGCTTCAGGTTTTTTTATGATACACCGTAAGTAAAGCAGGATTTGTTTTCTTTTCTGACTGATGAATTGCTTGGATTGACTACCTTAAATACATTTGAGCCTACCTATTTATTATATCTGTCATGTTCTTATTTAAGTTTACTTGTGCAGTTGTCTGCCATTTTTACATCAATTAAATGTTTATAATGTGACTTAGATTACAGTGATGGCCTGTAGACCTAAATATTATTACTAAAGAAGACTGGACGTCCAGAAGAAGCAAGAAAGATGAAAAAACTGCTGGTATTGGAGACCATTCAGAGATGTGAGCATTGTTACAATTCATTTTATAAAACCAAGGAAGATTTTGAAAAAAAAAATTCAGCTTGTTTAAGAGGTTTTTAACTTAAGAATGATGATTTGCCTTCAAAGAAACACATTGAGGTACTCCTCTGCTCACATTATCTGAGTTAACTGATCATCGATCTTCTAGATACCATTGACCAAATAATGACCTCGGAGCAGTTTTTCATACAAAGCAGAGCTTTAGTTACGAAATTCATCATATCTGTGAAAAGATAATGGGGATAAAATAGCTATTAAGCAAACCTACATTGTTCTCTGGTCCATAATTGTGTACATTTAAAAATATTTATAGATGCATATTTACAAGTGGTTGATGCAAACAGAAGGCAACCAGACTTACAGGATCTTGAATTTATCAAAATTCGACCATTATCTGTCCGTGCATATTTATTTACATTTCACCTATCTCAAGGAAATCTCTGATAATTTATAAATTTATATAATTTATAAATCCACAAAAAAAATAAACTCAACATTTTGTGAACTCACATTGCAAATATTCAAGCTGATCTGTAGCGAAACTACAACAAACTAGGTTGAAGCTCTTACATGTCCCCGCTTGACTATAGAAGTAAATCCAATATTATTGACAAATCTGATTGGCCTTTTAATTTTGAAGTTTTAATTATTTTTACTCAACCTTGTGATAATGTTCTGATATGATATCTTCAAAAGGCCTTTCTGCATAGTCTTCGTCAACATCAAGCGAATGATAACTCACGCTGGTCATCGTGAGATGAATGTCGCTGCCTTGCCTGCCCAATGACTCGTGTCGATAGCACCAGCAACAGGCTTTAGCAATGCATGCTGCCATACTGCTACAGCACCCACGGCGCCACAGTGACTTCATCACAATCCAGAGAAGACTCACTGTATACAAGGAAACCCAAAATGGAACATTGTTACTGATTCTAATAGCCCCGTCCCAACTGTCAATCAAATAGTGCTCATTGACCAATTACATCATGAATCTTGGTCAGGTGATCACAGTTTCTGTCAAATTTGGTCTTAAGCACCGTGCAAATTGCACAAATGAACTGTCTACAACAATCCAGATGATTGATTTAGTAAATGCGTACCTATGACAAACACAATGATGCTGAAGTTCATCAGAACTAGGATAGCGGCAAGGACTTCGGTTCTCTCTGTGCCACCTCCAGCAGAAGACAGGAGCAAGGAAGCTGCCAGGAGATTCAGGAAGATGGTTGCAAGGGAACACATCTGTAGACGGTTATCGGTGGCATCTTTCATCGGTCTCACATATGCATGTAGGAGCAGGAACCCAACAGATATGGCGATGGTTGCAAACATGGTGAAGTGATCATCTGGGCCGTACAGCAGCACAAACAGCGTTTGAATTATCTTGCGAGAGAGCTCAACAATTTCCCAATACCAGAACTCTGCTTTGTAGTTTCCACTGAGGAAACTTTTCCAGCTGATCTCCGCCTGACTTTGCTGTATGGGATTTAGGAGGTTGATGCCTGATTGATTAAGTGAGGAATCATCTTCATTTCTTGGTGGCATAGTTGGATCATTAATGCTGCAGTAACTCGGATCATCTACTGCCGATTCAAGCAAAGGCTGCTCCTCCGAATTCTTCATCTTGTCTTGTCTGTTGCTTCTCCACAGAAGTACAAACAGCAAGGACGGAAAGCCAACAACATAACAGAGAGAAACTTCAGCAGCATGGTTGAAATGAACATGCTGCTCGTCTTGACAGTCGATAGAGTAATCGGATCGAAGTCTCGTAGCATTGTATGTCTCGTTCTCATCTAGATAGAACAGGTCGCAGCCAGAAGGCAAGAGGGTGAAGATAACACCGGACAAGCCAGGATATGACACAAAGAGAAGCATGACAACAAACAGGTAACATTTCTGCCTTGTAGTTGACAAAGCCTTGACACGCTTTTCAACAGTGTATTTCTTGACCGCCAAGTAGCACTTAGAGACCCAATAGAAACATATTGCTGCCAACACAACGAACGCAATTAAGCTCATCCCAAACAAATACTCAATGTACACATTGCGGTAGGTGAAGTCTGGAAAGTAGCAGCGAGGACTGATAACCAGTTGGACAATATTCATCTCCAGTAGTCTCAAAAATGACCCAAACTTGGTCAGAATATTCGGCCAGGGAATCTCGTCAAGGGTAGAGAATATCTCGCCCATTACCTGATAGAAACCCAGCAAGATTTTCCCCCTAGCAAAGATCACATCAATGGCTGACCGTCCTTTTCTCTGGTTTCTCCGCACATCCCAAGCGATGACGAGTATTACCACGGCCAACACGACCAGCAACAGAACGACTTCAAGTAAGAACCACCACCACTTTGGGCAAACATTACAGCTATCAAACCACGCGTAGTACCCCATACTGCATTCAGAGCAAAGCCAACCTTCATAACCAACCTCACAAGTGGCATTGATACCATCACCTTCATTCAAGCAGGACTCCTTACGTGGACACGGATGTACCTTAGGCAACACTCCCCTAAAATGCTGCGTGGTACTATTGTAAGAATCGTTTCTGCTCCTCATGTTTACAACAAACCGCCGATATGCTTTGTAGTTGTCGTTTGAGCCCCAGTTCCAAGTCCACCAGAATCCAGGTAAGAGGTGTTGATACTCCCCTGAACAGTTAAGACCTTCGTCTGGGCAACGATAACACTCACCAAACCGATCTTTACGGTAATACTTATCAAGACATGAGCATGCGCGGAACCCTGCATGGAGACTTTTATTGGTACCTGTAGGACACACCGTGCAATCTGCAGGGCTGATACCAGGGTGAGCAGCTGGGGTGACGTAGGTTCCATTGTTGCACTTTTGACAGTTGATGGGCTGCGATTTGTCCGCTACTTGTCCAGTCTTGATTTGGTAAAAACCTCCTACGATTCAAAGAAAATGCTTCCATTAAAGCTGGTAACTGAAGAAAAAAAATCAATGTCATTCGACACTTGCCTTCGACTTCACGGTTTGTAACAATCAACCATGGGAACGATCTTGCCGCGCCATATGTTGGTTTCCAGTGCAGCCCATTAAGTCGAGACTGCGCGTTAATTTGAGGCCGACGTGTATTTTGACAACCCCATTGGTGGAAGAAAAAGAAACAGCGAGTGCGCACATGGTGCGCATGGACATCATGCGCGCGGATTGCCTGCGCTCGAGCATGGTGCGACCATAGAGCTATATTACATTTAATATAGCTCTATGGTGCCACCTCGTATACCTTTATTTAAGCTGATATTAGATGACACGAACTTTTAAAGAGGAGTTCACAGATACAATATGCTCTTAGCGAATGAAACCTACATTGATAGTACCTGGTGGGCATGCTTTACACACACTATTCTGCGGATCTCCATAATACCCCTGTGCACAGGGCACACATCGCCACGGAAGAACTTTGAAGCCAGTTTTTGAGCAGGTGAATCCAGATTCATTAAAGAGTCCTGCCATTTTCTTCGATACAAGTATCGGTAGGGCGAACCCATCACCAACCAACTCACTGGAATTCGAAGGTACAAAAGTAAAACAAATTCAACGGTAGGCATGTACGTTATCTGTTAACGGTACTATGTGCCAATGCAAAATGAGAGGTGCGTTTAAAACAAGTTCTTTATTCTGTCATTGCGGCTACTTAATCAAAAATCAACAAGTCACAGTTACACCATGAGAATCGTGAAAGATCCTTACATTTTCAGGTCAGTCCGGTTTGTGGCAGGCGCAAACTGAATGGTATTATCAACAGCCCTGGGAATAAAAGAACAGAATGAAATGGTACTATGTTCTAAACAACTCTAAGTAACAGTTGTTGGGCAAAGTCTGTACATGTATAAACTTTATTCATTTATTTATTTATAGTTTTATTTAGTTAAAAACTGCTGTTACTGAGGGCCCTGTAAAAAAATGATAAGAATAAAATGAAATAAAAATAATAAACATGATGTAAAATCACTTAGAACATTAAGTAAAAACTAGAATGAGGAAACAAAAATGCAAATATGTAAAATACAGGGGTGTGAATACAAAAACAAGAACATATATTACGATACACTTATAAACACGAACAAAATACAGCACGGAAATTTATTTAATTTAACAAAATGAAAACAAAGCATATTTTAAATTAATATTACGAAATTAAGAATTAAAAAAAAAGTAAAAGCTTGCAGAAAAAATCTACCAATTAAAAAACAAAGACTTCAAGACAAAAAAACAAAAAAAAATCAAAACAAAAAAACCAAACAAAATCCAAACAAATACGTAAAAGGGTAAAGCATAAAGAGCAATTACTAATAATTTCGATTTTGGCGGCGCGGTAATTCAAAAAGAGATATATAAAAAGTAAACTGTAACTTACACATAGGCGTTGGAACCCAAATCTTGCCAAACGACATCGGAAATAGTTGTCAAATGACTGTTATACAACGATCTGGGAAAAATCGGAATAGCATTAAAGCATCTAGCTTCCTACGATATGACACAAGTGAGGGAACTTCACGAATCAATCCATACTTGACCAAGAGTGTGTTATCACACCTGGAAAATTAGCGAAATGTACATTCCTGCCTTAAAGTTAAAAATGAAATAATTAATCGAATAGTAAGTGATTGGGACCAGCGAATAAAATGCTAATCTACAAACCAGGACTTCACAATGATATCGCAATCTTCTGCCGTATAAATTAAAGTTTGTTCCTGCACTATTTTTTCATGGTATTATTTTGAGGGGCCCGTATCTACGCAGAAACCAAAAGTGCATGCTATGGAAAAACAACTGGTGGAATACATGTATGTATGATGGTGGTGTACATGTATTCATAAATGGTGGTGCACATGTATTCCTAAGATGGTACGCATATACTTGGCTCTTTTCAAGGAAGCAAACAAATTAGAAAAAATGTGATGATGAATGTACTTACACCTGTTTGATTGTGTTATTGACGGTGGCAAATGGCCTCTCTCCAATCGATGAAAGATTGTTTTGGAACATGTATCTAACATACAAATTGAAAATAAAGAATATTGTTCTAAGTTTGCAAGCAGTAGCCCAAGTTGTTACCGTATCTCGATCGAGCATTAAGAATGTTGTGGACATGAATGGATTTGCAGATCCAGTAGGCCCCGCCCACTTTGCACGTGGGCAACGTCGCTTGCGTCTCCAGTGCCTGTTTGCAATGTCCATGCCAAACTGCATGTTTCGGACGCTCGCGTTATGTAATTTAAGTGCACGCAATGTCGTATATCGTAGGCGTGATTGGTCAACGTTTCATTACGGTGCTAAACGCCATGGATCGAAGTGGTTACGTCATGCGCCGCCGAGGTCGCGCGTTGCCTGGGTAATGGGTCTAAACCACAGACATATAAACGCATAGACCGCCAGTCGTGCGCGTAAAACCGTGATTCGAAAAAGTATGGGCAAAACGCTTGTTGACATGACGCATATCCGCTCAACGCGCGTTCAATGCAGATACGCGCTTAGGACACTACATACATTTACATACAAAGCATGTTTTTTTTAGCTAAAAAAGTGTTGTTTTTTTACAATCGAAAAATAAGTTCATAGAATTTTTGTAATGGAATAGTTTGGGTGTGTGTAAAATCCCTATACCGAGGGGTGAATTTGCTCATAGTTTGGTATTTTAGTCGGGCGCTGCGACATCACGGAATGCGCGTGTAGTTTCGAATGGGACCTGGCGGTCTATGCGTGTATATGTCTGTGGTCTAAACACACATTGCTGATACCGAACACTATGGAAGATGACCCCGCTTGATGTCACACTTGTACGGCGTATAGGATCACTAAACGAGTGATTGTTGATGCATGTACATGTACTTACAAATTCGTAAGCTGCGTGTTGTAAAAAAGCCAGTCTTGTATCTCAGTGACAGGATTGTCAAATGCGAATCTATAGAAATATAACAAGAATTGCAGTTTAGTTGCTTGTAAACAGTGTATTTTGTAAATGTTAGGCCCCTAATGATGGGACCAGTGGCGTATCCATTGATGTGTGTGAAATTTTGCCTTTTTTCCTCTCTTTTTTTCCCAGACACTTGCCCTCCAAAAATAAAAATGGGGGGGGGGGGGGGCTGTTTCCCTTCTTCCACATGGGGGCGCTCTTCAAAACTGACCATTTTATGCATACTGCAAACATAATTATGCCGCTTTTCACGGCGCATTGTAATGGTTTTGGAGCTTGGTTTTCTTTCTGGTTTTTCATGTCAAAAAAATATATATAATCTAAAATATCTTTCACAAAAATTAAAGTGCCCCCTCCCCTCTGGATACGTCACTGGATGGGACACTGGCGGGCAATTAAACCCTTTGTCTCTACACGAGGGCATAATGAACCATTGTTATGAGAAACCCAACTTGATTTTCGCAAAGGAAACTTTGCAAGGGCCACCAGGACTCGATTTTGTTTTCGTAGGCTTGAGAGGCAATAACATGAATAGTTCAGTAGTTTTTCGATGGGAAAATTATGTTAATTTATAAGAAAACAATGACACGTCATCGTTATCTTATAAACACGTCAAATCCACCGATGTCCATTTATCTCTGCTGTGTTTCTTTTCCAATTTATGGTTGGGATAATTATAATTTTATTTTAATCGTAAAAAGGTCCAAGAACCATGTTTCTTGCAGTGATTCTGTCGAAACTACTGAATTATTCATGAATGGCTTCACCCACCCATGGAAAAAAAATATGAGGCCCAAGCGATTTGTTCCCTCTGGCAGGATCAACAGAGGGCGCCCTCTCCTCATGCATATAATTCTCGCAGCCGGTCTTGTGACTTGTGAGCAGCCAATATCTCAACAATGATTTAAACTTTGAATTTAAAACTGATAACAAATAAAAAGGACAAGAACTCACAGAAATTCCAGAGAGTGAAGATCCTTGAACATCTCTCTGTTGAAGACCCTGATTTGATTGCGTTGGATAAAGAGTCTCCTTAGCTTGGTCTGATTGCGAAATAAGCCATCAGGGATGGATGGGAGACGATTGGAGCTAATGTCACTTCAAAATGTGAAAATTGAAAAATGGGAAAGTCAAACCTTTGCACAATTCAAACCAAACTTCAAATGGTCAAGTGAGTCATCAATGTAGGTCAGACATAGTGAAGATGCACTGTTTTCTTCAGATTTTTTTTTCAGAGGGATAGGGGGTGGGTTTAGAATTGTGATAAATGCACCCGATTATTATCACAAATGGAAAAAAAAACCTTAAGCGTTAGGAAAGGACTACTTGAATCTTGGCTGTGCATAAAAAATACTATACCATACAAGTGCCAAATCTCAAATTGGGTCATTTATTTGGACTGTTACATGTACTGCACCAAAAATGAAACAGTTTAGCTACTTAAGTGGAATTTTGAGCCCACCCCGCTCCACTCAGGCGTTGTTGGTTATTCTATCAAACAAAAAACACAGAGTCTAAAACAGTCTCTCACCTCTTTTTTCAAAGGACGGAATTCTTTTCTTTGAATTGTGGCCGAAAAAGAAAAACACTCATCTGTGTTGCTAAAAGATTGACTTGTGTTTAAGTGTGGTGATTGAGACAATAAAACATAGTCTGTCAAAACTCTTACAGCATGTCGGTTAATGTTGCGTTGACTAGCAGATTCTCTGGTAGAAAAACTAGGTCGTTATCCGCTAAAAACCTGCAGGGTATATATGGAAATGGATGACCCTCTATTTATTACATGTTGGTGATAGTCTTTTTAAAAGAAGCGTTATTAAATAATGTCTTCATGTCTGATCTGTTATGATAACGAATCTCGTTGGATTGATTGTTTAATATGCCCAGGTCCTCCAGTGAACGAAGACCACAAGGTCCTTTATGAATAAAACAAAATGTTGCCTCCTTTTTTTAAATGAATGATCGATGACAGTTTGTTTTCTTTCTTTAATATACTTAGCGTCATTACGACATATCGTCGCGTCAGTGCAACGAGGTCGTAACTCGCGTATCGCGACGTCCATTTGACTTTGCGTGTACATCCGGGTTGTTTCAAGCGAGATACGACCTTGTTGCACGGAAACGGCGATATGCAAACATGAATAAGAAGAAGTGTACTGCACTTACAACTCCATGATTTCAGTTGTCGGTTCAAACAAACCCTCTGGTAGAGTCATTAGGTGATTGCTGTGCATTTCCCTAATACAGTTTGACAGAGATGTGAAATGAGGAGTTTCAATATTGAAGCTACTAACAGTGCATCTCTGTAGTTGTCTAATATTGAAACCATTGAATCCAAATGCCTAATGTTATAACACTGCCTTCGTAAACTTGGAAAAAAAAAATTGTTTTATGTTGTATGTAATATGTTTATGATAAAGTTTACTCACAACTTGTTGAACTTCTTAACACCATTAAAAGCTCCAATGGCAACTCGGCTTACTGCGTTACCAGCAAAAGAACTGAAGAGCATGTGAGACAAAACAAGCACATTATTTAAACAATTAAATTGTTATCGGATAAGTGAATTGGAAGTTATAACTTAAAACCGTCTTTTCAAATGTTGTGATACTCTGGCTCAAAGACCTATAGAAAAAGCCACCAAAAACTTCCCTAAAATTAAGGTTGTTTTTCACAACTAGCGTTCTCGCGACATCCCGCTAGCTGGTCAGTGCGCCCTCGTATTTTTTTGAGAAGGGGTTTATTATACAGACAGGTTTGGAAATGCATATACATTTTGGAGTGTTTTCAAAGAGACAATGTTGTAATATTTAACTACTTAAAGTCTCAAATAAAGTTTTAGAGAGTTGCTGTATTATTTAACTATGCAAAGTCTGAAAGAAATAAATGTGCCATAAAAGCCAAACGAAACAAATTCATAATTTTTTTTAGAGGACAGTGAAATCGGGGCACAAAATGTATACCAGAATAATGACTTTCATACAATAACCAAGCCTCTCCGTTAACCATTTCATTATGTGCTTGCCTTTTACAACAATCGTGACACACAGACAGACAGACAGACAGACAGACAGACAGACATCAGACAGACAGACAGACAGACCGACAGACATCAGGCAGCATAGGATATTTTAAATTGGGATGACCCAACTTGTAGGTCATGATATTTTGATAGTAATACTCACAATGTTTGGATTTCTTTCCTATGCTGTTTGTTCGAAGGATCCACAAACAAACTAGTTGGAATCTCGGGAATTCTATTGACCTCTAGCGTTCTGCAAAACAATGACAATTGAGGACACATTTTGAGCAATACTATTTTCGCGGCCGTTCTGAGACACTGCTCTGCGGTCATTGTAGACCTACGTGCAGCCGCATAGATCCTACGTTCCATCAGAATATCTGCTACTTTTGCGTCTTTTCATCTCAGAGGTTGGTAAAACCCGTAGTTTTCCAGGTCTAGTTTTAATAATGTCCATGTACATGCACGTGTGTACATGCACATCATGCACAGTTAGTCTGTACACAGCTCAGACGTATACGTACATGTACGTATGCTTGTTATGTGTGATGTTTAATGTTATTCATAATAATACTCTATTTTCGACGTGTCACACCCCAAAACACGTATACCAACTTTAAAGGCAAAATGTGTGCATATAAGCCAATTGTCAGGGTTATCTGTGCTATCCGATTCAAACAATAACCTTTTATACCTTCAATATTTACTCATAATTTTTTTCGATTGTTTTCAGTTAATTCTAAAAATTATATTATAGAGCGAACATTTTAGCATTTTTTTTGCGTTTGTAATGTTCGGCAGGGAACGACCATAATGACCATCGTTCTTCAGAGACTTTTCTTCTTAGAGTAATTATTCAGACTAACATGCATACTCACATCCAGCTGAGCTTGGGGACAATACCAAAGGTGTGTGCCCTTAACAGTTGCAAATCGTTGCTTCGTATCCATCTGTAATGCCAAACGCGTGAATAATACGTAACTTTGTACACGGGTTGGCAAAAATGTAAGGTTATTGTCGTTAAAATAAAGAATAGATGTAGTTCTCAATGTTTCAAACCATATCATTGGATTGTAGAAAATACAAAATTACCAACAAAAGCTATCAAAGACTTAAAAAATACATCCTTTGTGCAATTTTGGCTAAATATATTTTGGCTAATAAAATCGGGTGGCGCAACGCTCACGTATATCACGTGCAGGTCACATCTGTTCGGCATAATTATGCGGTGCGCGTGTTTTGGAACCTATGGGCTCCGTGCGCCAACTAAGAGGGCGCCCTTTTACCTAGCAACGACGTTCCATGGGCGGGACATTTAGCTGGTTGACGCGCATCGTTCCTTGTGTGTGACGCACGTACACCAGGGATTTGTACTAGGACACACAGTGGTACGTACGGCCCCGCGTCGCGGCAAAATTGCAGTCAGGCAAGATGGCGTCGGTCGGTCACCCCCAACTGTACTTTTTTTGGCAGTGAGGAGGTACTTGTGAACGGAGCGGAAAAGTCAAATGGCACATAAATTATATGCCACTTGCCGCATGCATTTGCGAGCATACCACACACTAGATAAGCAACGCTATTCCGCGCACTGAGCCCGTAGTCCACCGTGCGTTCAGTGTTTCTTACAATTCTTGTATCTGTAGTCCTTCAAAAGTATCCGGGCCGAGTTCCTTCAAATGATTTCCTGAAATTTTCCTACGAAAACAAGGAAAGAAAAGAAACAGGAACTCGAATTTTAATGTAGGGCATGTAACGTCATGTGAAACGGCAAATTATAGCAAAATACAAACCTGATGCTGACGTAGCCAACCCAAATACTCGTTAGAATCCATGCCTGCAATATCATAACTTGTTTCTTTTGTATTACATGTACTCGTTGCTTGAACACAGTGACAGTTACAGAACGAAACAAAACAACAAAAAAACTTACAAGGTCTCGATGAACTTCGGGCCAGTCAATTCCTTGGCTGATATGGTTGATATCTTGTTTCTCTCCAGGGATCTGATTGAACCAAAACATTCCAGTGAACAATATAGCTCTGTTTCACAGCCTATCTTCAAATTGCAGATGTTTCACTTTCATATCATTATGCATTCATTCATTAATTCAACGTAAAGATATTCTGGTCCAATTCACGTTCCTCAACTCTATCTTTGCTTTGGACCCAGTCATTGTGCAATACGCCATGGATTTGAGCGCGTGATCGAGGGTTGTATAGGAAGACGCCCTCAATCGCCCACACACCCACGGCCTATTTACATCGCCTTAAGCTGTCATTTAAACCAACCCCTGGACAGGATCTTTTGCAGTATTCAAAAACCTCCACCTACATCGATTATGAGAGATTCATATTGCCCTTGTAATAATAGTTCTCTGTTCATATCATTGGATTTAAGACTAATTCGTTACGGCCAAAACAAAAAAAAACATGTTTAGCGTCCCCGCCCACTTCCTTTTTCGAGGCCGCCTCATTTTTTTTTAAACACGAAAACTGATAAATTTTAAACAGTGACATCATTTGCGCGTCTTTGTCTGTTCCTGTTGCATCTAGCCCATATAAAGCTGGTATGTCATACTTGAGTCAAAGTGGTGGCCATTTAAACAAGAAGAAGCTGTCGGCGATCTTGAAAAAAAAGCCCGGTCGGGCGGCCATTTTGAAAGAAAAAACAAAGGGGCCTCCTCCTTCCTTTTTTTTCAAAAAGCAGGACGCTAAACATGTTTTTCATTTTTACTTGGCCTCAACTGTCATTTTTTTTCTCTTCTGAATGTTCGTTTTTTGTGTAATTGTTTGAAGGTTGGCCTTTAAAGTCAAACCAACTACGAATTAGCCAAGCACGTCATACAGTTCCAAAATGAGGTCAAAGGATGAAATATCCATGATGTCAACAGGTTCTCCCACGATAAAAAAACTTCGCTTAAAGGTTTTCTCTAGTTTGTTTTGCGATATTTGTTTTTGAAAAAAAAAAACATATTCGTTTTATACTCACAAATGTTGAAGGTTGGTGCAACTCTTGAATGCGTCCGCTCCTATACTAGTCAAATCATTCGAGTTTAAATACCTGTAAAAAAGGTTTTTTTGTCATGAGGATGCGTTCCCCTAGCTTGTTTTCGACTTCCGTCTCGAAAATAGATTCCTTTTGTAAATTGATTTTTTTTTTTCTGGCCATAATGTTATTCACTTTTTAATGAGACATCGACCGAAACTAATCGGCCCATGTTTAGATATTGAATTATTTGTTTGCATGTTGACATTATTGGCTGCCAGTCAGTAATTCCGTTGTGGCGCGGTAGGCTGGTTACCGGCCAACAATTAGAATAAAGATAAAGACCGGGAGCCAGTTTGCTAGCAAAGCGGATCTGTTTTGCGTCCAGAGGGTTCCAAAAGGATAATAAACAATAGTGGTTTTGGTGTTAATATAAACATACAGCTCAAAATGTATTAATAGAAAAATATGATATTTAATCGAAAAGCACGGGAACGTAACTTTCAGTTGGGAATGAATCGTATGTCGTTTGATTAAATAATGTCAAATTTGTGTAAAATCATTTTCATATTCATGAACTAAATATTCAACATTCATGTTTCTGCATTTTCAAAGGTTTCAATGCAATTTTACACTCAAAAGTTTTGTGCTTAGTAATAATCATTAAGTTTGTGAATTGGAACTTTGTCGGTGCTGAAACAAACTAGTATAAGACAAACCGGGGTCCCCCCGATGTCAACTGTGCGCTCCCACTAACTGCTGTCTCGCCCCTTTAGCAACGGTGAACCCATTTTTTGTTTGTTTTTTACTCGACCCAACTTGAGTCCTGGCCCAACGGGTAACTCACTTGACTCGAGTCTCTGATGAAACTGCGGCTAAATTTATATTTTGCTTTCCAAAATATGTGTAGATATATTCCTTGGCCCAAATCATAAACAGTTTCTTATGCTGGATTTGGTATGGACGTTGTCGGCGTAAAACGTATTCCAGACCCGAAGTCAAGCCAGAGATAAAACCGAAGTTTCACTTCTTTGTAACTGTTACGTAGGTCTTTGGTAGAAACATCAAGCAGAAGCTTTCTAGTGCAGGGGCGAAGCAAGGTCATTTTTAGGGGGGGGGGGGGGGGAGGGGGGGGGGGGGGGGTACCCATCTAATAATGGGGGTGCTGTTCAAAACCGACGAGTTTGCACACTGACGGACAATATATGGCGGTTTTTTTTTTCACGGCAATACGTGCGCAAAAGGGCGCTTGTTCACAACAAAGGCATTTGTTGACAAAAAGAAGGGCACTCAAAAGAAGGGCACAAATATTGGGGGTAAGCGCTGGGGGAAATAGGGGTCATATCAATGGAGAAGGGCAGGTAGTCTTTACAAAATATTATTACTAACATATTTTTTTTTTTTTTTTTTGGGGGGGGGAAATCCCTTAACCCCCCCCCCCCCCACCACCACCACCTCCATCCCCTCTGGACTCCCATATATTTTGCACTAAATGTAGTCTGGTACCGGCCGACATTTGAAGGGAAAAAAAGAAAAGAAAAAAAGAAAAAAATCGTCGCCGCACAACTTTTGGGGCAAGCTCAAAACCAGAAACCGGAGATTTGTTTTATTTGGCCTAATAAGCAAACTAGACAGGGAGGATTTATTTTGTTAGGAGTGGACGTTGTAATTCACACTGAACGTTAATACACTTAAGTCAAAACACAAAGAAGACGATTTTCCATGCGGTATCGAATCGGGATACCGGACGCAAGTTTTCCACCCATGGGTTACTATTGGAAACGAGGTTTTAAAGTAAAATAAGTCCAGGGACGAGTTTGGTATAAGACTTAAAATTTCACAAAGTGGCATTTTCATTATCGCCTAAAATAACAATTGTTCGGACTTACAAATGCATCAACTTGGTACATCTTGCAAAGGTGTTTTTACCGATCGCTCTTATTCTGTTGTCTTCGAAATCCCTAGAACAGAAAATTGGAAATCTAAATTAATTCTTTGCGTAAATCGTCAAGGCGGTTTAGCAATGACAAATTCCCCTGCGGCAGCACCATGTTGTTATAAAACAACACATCGTGCATCAGCATTTGCACATTTTACAACATCATAAAACCATACACTTTCAGTCTATAGTTTCTGAAATGTATGGCATTAATTTGTGGCAGTCAAATATTACAGTTACAGTGATTTAATCCTAAGATCAACGCGTGTGCTTTACCTAATCATTTGGCAAACTGATTCTCTTAAGGAATTCAGATATTTTAAAAGTCGGAGCGTAGGGAAATTGCTACTTAATCAAAATAGAGTACAACATGAGTCAATTTCAGTTATTTGAATATAACAATCATTGAAAAATAGCAATTATTATTGACTCACGCTGCTAGCAGCTTGACTCCGTTTTTCATGACCAAGTCGATGTCTTGCAGTCGATTTCCACTAGCGTATCTACAAGCCAACGATGAAAGAATTCCCATTGCTATTGTCATTTCAGAAAAGCACATTAACTTGAAAAGGTTTACCCTAACAAATTATAGGTGTTTTGATAGGAATGAGTGCGAGTGCCCAATAAGGTGTGGTCGTGTTGCAAGAAGTATTGCATGAAAGTCTTGCATGAACTTGTCCACAATGATCCCTGCCAGATCTGAAGAATGCGACGCCGATGGCAATATGTAGAATCTTCTGTCAATGCTTAAAAGTGTCAGTGATTTACAAAGATTTTACCCAGAGGCAGTTTAATATTTAATGTTATATAGTACATTTACTTACAAAGTCATTAAAGACTCAGGAATTTCGAAAGGCTTGTCAATGTTGTTGCTGGTCAAATTGCTGCATTAGAAAAAAACAGTAGATACAGGTTTTAAGAAACGGTGATTTAAGAGTTTTGCCTCGAACAATCGCGAGATTTGTTCATTGCCTTTTCCTGGCAATACAACAGTTCTAATGTATCACTTTTGAATGAGATATTGAACAAAAACAAATCCATCGACGTTCGGTTATTAAATCATTTCTTTACAAGGTTCGAATTATTGGTTGCCAGACAAGAATTTGGCTCTTATACTAAGGCCAAAAAAAAATAGTTCTGCTTCCGGTTACCCAACCGACCTTTTTTTTTAGGCTGCGACCCTAAACATTTTATCACCAATTCAAAGAAGAAAAAAAATGATTGAATAAATAAAAAAAAATGTTGTCTTTTCTGTCTTCACAAAATACCTCTCAACAACCCTTTTGCGTCCAAAAAATGCTAATATTTATTTGTTTTCTTACTTATATTCGCTATTTTTTCAAAAGAAACCTCCGTTATTTTTACAAATTCGCTTTGCGATGTAACTACTTTGCAATTCGATGTCACGTTGACAATAGTATAATCAAATGCATAACGTAAACCCAGCTCAATGCGGCGACTACTAGTTCCCGCCGCGCCAATTTAGAAGACATGGTGAAAATGCGGTAACTAGTCTGTGCACGGCTATGCGATCGATAGCGCTAGCATGGCTCTGCATTGCAGGCACGTGCACTGTCAACTGGTCGGATCCGACATTGTAAAAATGCCAAGAAAACACCGAAGGAGAAAGAACATTTTTGCAAGTTAATTCACAGAATTGATCTAGGTTGTTTGTGTATGTATTTGCCGTGTTCCAAATTTTCGACCTTAATTGAACGAGGTGCGTTGGCCGCGGGCCACACATGCACAGTGCATCACACACTTTGGAGTTTTGGCCAGCTTCCCGTCTTGACTAGCGTTGTGCATATGATGCGAACGACCTGAATTTTCAATATTTTTTTTTTTTTTCAGAATTATCGAACGTAACTATATTGGCAATAATTAAGGTTGGTTGTATTCACATTTTGTTGCCATTTTGTGTATAGCTTTCGTAGTGCAATGGAAATAATTCAGGCTAAAACTTCGCATATAATTGAATACCACATTCAATCTGCATAACAAAAATTGGCAAAAAACAAATGTTTTCCGACCGACCGACCCTATTTTTGAAAGGCATGTAATCGGAAGCAGAACTATTGTTTTTCGGCCTCAGCTGAGAACAAGGCACAATCAATACGAAATACGAGTTTTTGTAGATATCCTGTTTCTACTAAGACATTTCTTTACTAGATAATAATATTTGCACAAGAGGGCGTTGCTTGATTACACAATATGGCATGTCTGTACTCGAATAAATTATGCAATTTTTGCAAAATTAATATACTTACAGCAAAATAAGGTAAGGGAGGTCCAATAAGCCATTCTTAGGTATCCTCTGCAAGACATTCCCTGCGAGGTTTCTGAAATTGAGTATTGTGCATACAGGGCTTAACTATAGGCCTATATTATCGTAGATTGTAGCTTTTATATTTTACGTTTAAAGCCCAGTATTGATGATGAGTCAAGTTCCAGGGAAATACAAGAGAAATGGTGCAGGCGTATCTGAATTAATAATTTGTCCTACGCACGATTGTATCAATAATTTTTAAGTACCTAAGACAGTTTACCCTTTCCTATTGGTGAAGAGCCCGTCACGTGACTGGTCGTAAACAGATGATAAAGACCGGCTGGCTGGTCTGAATCACTTTCCCAGTGTCACATGAAATTTGGACTCCTGTGAAATCAGGTGCCTTTTTACCGTTGTATTGGTTGAAGTCTCAATATTCATGTAGGCATGCGTAATACTACCAGTGACTCAGTATTTCATAGTCCTAAGTTCATACTAAACTGACACAGCAGCTGCATTCTGCGCCACAATGCGCAGTACGTACGCGCGATGCGCGCGCCAATCTCCATTGAAGGAGTGGTTTACAGCTTTTTGCGACAGGGAAAATCCATGTTATATCTAGAGGGGTGTTTCGAAAAACATGAGGTAAAATTGTTGAACAAAATCGTTTGAAATTTATAATTTTTGACTTGTTTTGACTTTTGGACAGAAAGGTTGTGTGTGTTTGTTTTTTTTCCAAAAAGGTATTTATGAATGGGAGTGAATAAGTGCTTGGCCAGTTTTAAACCCTATGTTTATGACCTGTTGCAGTCATTCATACTACAACTACAAGCAGTATGTGACATTGAATGGAGTTAAATCCAACTATCAAGATATTAATTGTGGCGTACCCCTAAGGCTCCACACTGGGACCACTATTAGTTTTAGTTTATGTTAATGATATGCCATTTTGTTGTTATGCCATTTTATTTGCGGATGACACAACTCTTCTTACCTCTGGGAATGACTTAAATGTATTGGCTACGGAGGTTAACAGAGATCTATTAATTTTACAAGATTGGTTTAGAGCAAATAGGTAAAGATTCCATCCTGATAAAACCTATTTTATATGTTATACATCCAGGCAAAATGAACGTTACTCACCCGACATACCATTATTTAAAAAAAAAATGTTTTCTGAAAAGGGTCCCCAGTACTAGATTTTAAGGTCTTGAGACTGATAAAATTATGCTTTTGAAGGAACAGATTTCTTATGTTTGTAATAACATTTCCAAAGCTAATTATATTCTTAATAGAACCAACATACTTATGAGGATAAAAGATGGTATTTCTATTTACAGTGTACTGGTTAATTCCTATTTAAATTATGGAGTCTTGGCATGGGGTGGTTTGATTAGGATTTATCCATCTTTTTTATGATAGGATTGTTTCTTTACAAAAGAAATGCATTAGGAATGCCTGACATGCCAAATATAATGCCCATACTTCACCTCTATGTTTTAAGTTTAACATTCTTAAGTTTGAAGAAGTTTATAATTTTCAGATTGCCTCACACTATTATGATAATTTTCTTAAACTGCTTTCAAAAAAATGTAAGTTGCGATGATTTTTTTTCCCTTGAACCAAGATGTTCACTCATATGCTACTCGTCAAGGCAGTCTTATTCATTTGCAAACCACCTGTAGGCTAGACATTGCTTCTGCTAATTATAGACATGTTTTGCCTACCATTGTTAATTCATTCCTACCCTTTTTAAGAAACGATTTGGTTAACTTGTCAAAAAAGGTTTTTATGAAGCACCTAAGAGAATTATATTTAGACAAATACAGGGATTTTCTTTGTGTCAATCCTAACTGCTTTTCCTGTCCATAATGAGAAAGGCAGTGTTTGTTATTTGTTATCCATTACTTTGTATTTATCAAACGCGGAAACGAACATCATCTCAACCGAAAGTTATGCAACTGAAATAGAATGTATAATTACATGGATATACTTGTGTAATTTGACAGTCGTCTAGGGTTTTGTCCTGCTCTCGGATGTCACCCCTATTCATATAATTATTTGCTTCAGATATAGTATTTGTTTATTAATTTTGTAATTGTATCATTTTGTGTATTCTTTCTTGATTTTATATGAATGGAAATTAAAACAAATAAACAAACACCCCAACAAACAAACAAACAAACTAGTCTTGAACATAGTGTTTAAAACCGACTAGGTATACATTATTCCCTGAATACTAGCTTCATTGTAATCAAATATACATTGTAGTCAACCCATAATAAACAAGACAAAGCAACCCTAGTAAAGCTAGTCCCAGAGCCCACAAACATAGTAATCATTGATTCAGAATGTTTTATTCACATACATCTGGTCTCCACACAGGGCCGCGTTACGGGGTAATCCTTTACGATTGCACTTCTCGGCTCACAAAGGGCAGTCATTCAGTCAGACAGGTACAAAGAGAACTCTTGGCTGCTTCATTGTTGCGGAGTAGTCCTATATGATAGCACTGCCCAGCTCACATTGAGCAGTCAGTCAGTCAGACAGGTACAAAGAGAACTCTTGGCTGCTTCATTGTTGCGGGGTAATCCTATGCCCGACTCACAAGGAGTAGTCATCAGTCAGACAGGTACAAAGAGGACTCTTGGCTGTTTCATTGTTACTGTCAAGTTTAATCAGTCAGTCAGTCAGTCAGTCGGTCGATCGGGGAGTCAGTCAGTCAGAAAGGTATGCAAAAATGACGCTGTTTTTGGCCAGCAATGATAGTTGTTGCACTTACAGTACTTTGGTGTCGTTTGGTATCCCCTTCGGTAACTCCATCAGGCCTCTATCACTGCAGTCAACTATGCGGGGCCCGTGGTCGCTACACTCACACACCTCACACGCTTCCTTGCTTGCATGAACCGTACGCGTTGAGGTAAGAGTCGCACAGTGGAACACCATCAGACCTAACATTAACTGCTTATACCAACCCCGCTCCATGGCTGTATGCATGGTGTTGAATAGCCCGTCTGATTTCAAGTATGGGTTATACACGGCAATTTACCATCGATCTCAATCTTCACTTCAACTGTAAAGTCGGAATGAAAACAATCATGTTCCGATAAATTGCTGCAAGTTTTGAAGAGCTACGTGGTATTGAACTCGGGCTATAAAGGTCCAGCGCTGGAACTTTCCCTAGTTAGTATCGTATGGCAACATCGTCACAAGGAAATGTACTACAGGCATTATGTGCCATGACCTTGAACAATTTGCCCCGGAAACGCTTGACATGTAAAAAGTCCCGTTGGATTCTCTGAGGGGAAAGTCCTGAAAAACCCTTTCAGCCCCCTTTAGGGGAGGGGTTTTCTATGAGGAAGCATATTGTGTCCATCATCCTTATTCCCATGTACATGGACCGATTTCCTTATTCCCATTGAAGGACCGATTTTTCAAAAATTCGGCAGGAATGTCGCTTCGCCACTAATCGATAGTTGGTAGCCACACAGTGATGACAAGAGGGCACTTTACCATTTTTCTCTTTTTTGAATGTTTTCAAATTTGGCACAAATACTTTTTTGACTAAATATTTAACTAACACAATTTCTTTTTGCATCCAATTTCAAAATTAGAGGGCGCTTTACTATATGATTCTCTGATGTTTTGGTCAACAAAATATTTGTATCATAATTTCAAAACTTTTTCTTAAAGGGAATATACAACATTTGCAAACATCGAAAAATAAAACTACCAAGTTTTTGCGAAATACCTTAATAGGATGTTGGTAAATGACAGTCTAAAGCATCCTGTAAATTATGGCACATGGTATACTGTCATTTTCAAGAAAAGTGGTATTTTTGTATCAATTTCCAACGCTGATCGGCCGATCAGCGTTGGAAACAACTGGCTTTTTTTCAAATACTGGCCCCAATTGACCATTGCACTTGTTTGCAATCGATTACAAACCTATGAACGGGTACGAGCCAGCTAGACTGGTTCCCTGACCTTACAATTCCCCAATGTATGTAAACTGCTCTGTTTCTTATATGGAGTCAGGGAACCAGACTACAGGAAAATGATCGTTTTTCTTGGTTTTATAGCATTTTCGAACCAAAACCTCCAAAAAGTCAGTGTAACTATATTTGCTTTATATTTCCAACCCCCCAATTCCATCCATTTCTGAAAATTACAGCAAAAGCAAATGATGTATATTCCCTTTAAATGCTTTCAAATTTGCTACAAACATTTTTGAGGTTAAAAGTCAACCAATCAAAAATAGTTGTTGGCATCCACCATTAGATGTCTTTGTGCCATTTTCTTTCTGGCTAAAATCATTTATTCCATCTTGTCCCCATTTTCAACCAAAATGGACGTTGGAAAAAGGAACCCCCAAATGGACACACAATTAAGCAATTTTAATGTGGCTCTTCGCATCACTTTGGCAGCCATATTGTATTGCCAGCGTGCCACCCACAAAAATGTATTACTTCAATGTTCAGCCAATCAACTCTCTGGTTTAATGCACTATCGGTATAACAACAGCCCGTCTTGTTTATCATTTTGTATGACAGCTCACTGTGAAGCGGTTCTATTCTCAATGCAATACACCCCAAGTTAGATTGACTCAGGGTGTACATGTAAAGTCTTCCTTCTCTAGGCCTAAACTGCTCGTCCAGTTAGCAGAGCTAGACATCAGCAGCAACAGAATGCTTACCAAAGAGGCTATACTTTTCAGGTCCAAGGCCTCCACCGTCAATTAACATGTGTGTCACTTTGGACAATTTTCTGAGTTCAGTAAACCCCTGATTTGCAATTAATCAGTCAGCACCGTCAAAAGTTTGAAATCCCCCCCCCCCGCCACTCTCTTCAACAGAACAACTCACTGCAGGACTGAGGCACAGTATAAACAGGATGTTGTCTAGTATCTAATGCCTGGACAATGGCAGATATCAACTGCTGTGAAATGGCATGGCTCTTGTCAGTGGCCGTTCGTCTTGTGCAGAGAAGAGAAGAGACAGGCGAAGACCGGCCTGTTTCAATTAAAGCAAAAGACGATTGCCTCTCACATCAACTGGCAGTGCAGTGGTCACTCCCTCTGCCTCTGGAATGATACAAACGTAAACTCCACCCAGTATAATTCTCCCATTCCCTGACTCAGGCGGGACCATATGCGTCGCGAGTGGGGGGAGGGGGTGATTCTTAATTGGTTAATTCAAAGACCCCCCGCCCAGCCCCCGGAAAATCTCCCGGGACTTTGTATATGTGATAAGGGACATATTCAGGCATCCAAACTAGTTCGTTTCTGTTGCAATTTGTTCAAGGTTGAGTCCAAGTTATAGTAAAATGCCTGTTTTAATGGACCATATCAGTGTTTACAAAATTTTATGCAAAATGATTGAAATGTAAAGCACACAACTACTTGACACCTCTTATATAGGGCAAGCAAAAGAAAGACAAAGAAAGAAAGAAGAAGCCCACAGGTTGCCCCTTTTTTTTTTGGAAAGTGTTATACGTGTAGCGCTTTTCAGATAATTGTATGGAAGCCCAATTAATAAGCTTTCTTTTAAGAAAAGAATCATTCAAATTGCTCATATAATTTTCCACGTTTGAACACAAACACCATTTTGTTTTACCTTGGCCGCGGTTCACATTATATTTTAAGGACGCGATATAGTTCCCGTTAAAATGAAACCATTTGTATATCGTGAAAGTGATATTAGAATAATCCCATAAGTCTCCGGGACAGCCAAGTAGAAGGCAGGGCAAATGGAGACTTTACTCTCTTGACATTATAAAGCATGTCATTTTAACAATTGGAGCAGCAGGTTTTTAAATATGTTATGATAAGTGCCATGCAGGTATCATGGTTAGGGCCTATTGAGAGTGTTCTGATTTTTTTTTTTTTATAATGTTAATGTTTTTTGCTTCGCTGAAATATAATTATACCTGTATTGTGATCTGTGGACAAACGGTTTTTGTTTTCAAAATGCCATATCTGAAAAAGTACAAGAGCGATTTGAATGATTCTAAAAGAAAGCTTATTAATTGGGTGGGCTTTCCTATCCTCGATCTGGAAAGCGCTACATGCAGTATTTTGTAAAAAAAAAAAAAAAAAATATGGGGCACAATTTGTTTTTTTTTTTTTTTTTTACTCACCCTGTACTGCCTAATGAAGTTTTCTCTCAGTATTTTTATGAGCTAGTGTGACTAGCTACATATAACCCAATGGACGATGCAGGAGGAAGTTTAGTACACTAGTATCTCATGCACACAGTCTAGTTCTAGAGTGCGCATTATTCTGTACAATTATATTCTTACAAGAAAGCAGGAAATGAAATGAATCCCCCACTAGCACTGCGCTGCAGGAAATCCTATTTCTTATATGCAATGCTATCCTTAAACGGAAACACATCGATTTTTTTTTTTATTTTTATGGTTACAAGTTTCAGGAAACAAAACGGGGATGGAAACTAGTCAGCTTGTTCTGGTATGGTGTCCAGCTTTGCAGTTAAATATTGTCTGAAATTATACAAAAGCGCTATCAGCAGAAAATGATGCATTAAACACCAGTAAAAACGCCAGGCTCATTCGACTCTTTCAAGTTGGAATTATGAGTTTTCTCACACTACTGTGTGATCCGAACAACTCATTTTTGCTGTTTTGCATTTTTTGGAGGAAGGCTGTGTAAAAAGAGCTTAGTAAGGCCCAAAAAAAATTCGGTCTCTGGTCAGACCAAAGTTCCGGAATTGACGCGGCCACGCGGCTTTTTTTTCTCATTTTTCTTCAAGCTCGGATTGTACAGACAAGGTGGGTACTATTTTGCTTTTTTTGGTGTCTTCATGTACATTGGTGTCCTCCATAATTTGCTTTGGTGCTTTCGATCATTTGCCTGGGTACAATTTTCCATTCCGTGGTGCTCTTTGGTAAAAAAAAATGAGGAGGAGCGGAAATAGAGGGCGCTGTTGGAGCTACCGCGGAACATTTTTGCGAAACTATGATTGTGATTCTTTTCAAATACGCGGGAGAACGGTATATTTAGACAATAAATACAAAATATAGCCCTGATAAAATAACATGTTTGACAAGAAATTAGCAACAAGGTCCCCACGTTTTTTTAAGAAGGAAATAAACCCACTTCAATCATATTCCTACGGCAATCATGTGTCCACTTCAAAAAAGGGAAACATTGTTCAACTTGAAGAATGGACGGGGCCGGATTTTTTTTTTCCTGTAGACAAACTCTTGGACAGTGCATGTCTCCAGAGGGCGCTATGTCTGGCGTTTTAAGATGGCGGCCTCCATGTGTGAATGTTGAACTTCAATGCTCACATTTTTTCAGTCGATATTTTAATATTGATTGAGTGGTTCCCTAATCCTTCTTAAACTATGTTCTGAAGAGTAACGGCACTGAGCTGTGCCAGTGTGATTTGTCGACAAATTTGTCGAAAAGTGACAACAAGATTGAAGAACGGTGGTTATTTTTGCTAGTCCCTGACCATGATGAATCCATGAAAACGTGCACACACATGACACATCTTTGCTGCAAAATAACTCCGAAGGTTTGGGACTACTCCTACTACGTAACCACCCTCCTTTATGTCAAGTAAAATCGTTGGTAAACATTTCACATGAACATTTTAGGCGCTTTTTTATTGCAGTGTTTAGGAACAAATGTTGCAACCTGACGCCACTTCAGCTATTGAGCGGTTGTATACAAAGTCTATGGAAAGTCAGAACAATCTTGTATTTCCTAACGAAATTGGAAATGTTTCTCACTCAGTCCCAGATTCATGTGTTATCAATATCATCATTTTTGCAATGAGTGACCTTTATTGAGATGATAGGCCTACATGAATACTGTAGGCTTTATGAAGAAAATAATTGGCGTCAGGTTGCAACAGTTTTTCCAGTGTGGATATTGGAAAGAATGAAGGCCTAGAAAAGTTTACTCCAGACCGCCACTTCGCTCTTTAATGGTTGTGTTCAAAGAGCCTATGCCATGGAGAGTCAGGAAACTTTTCAATGTGTTTCCTAACAAATTTAAAAGTGTTCCTTTGTCCCAGCACACCCAGATTCATGTCTTTTCAATATTTTTGTAATACTGACCTTTATTGAGATGACATATGAATAAAAAAATGGCATCAGGTTGCAACATTCTTTCCTTTATCAGTTTATATGTATCTGTGTCCTGCATTTGTGTCCATTGTTGTGCCGGCACTTCCTCTGCGCATGCGCACCTGCTATAAGTATGTAATGTAAGTAGTATGTACAAATGTAGTGGCTATCGTTACGGCAGTCGACCATCTGGTTCCCTGACCTGACAATATTCAACGTCAGGATCTGTGGCTCTTAGAACTGTGGATCTCGGACTTTATTTGCCTTAAAAGAGGCTATCGTTATGGCAGTGGCCCTGGATCGCAATGACACTTTAACCTTAACCTTTTCAATATGACCATTGAACCTTCACAATATGAATGTTGAACCTTCGCAATGGGCACGGTGTACGTTGCTTAATTTTGCTGTGTGGAAGTTGTTCCTTGTCATTGTGAATCATCCATCCTGTTAGTGTTAACGTTCGATTTGTGTATGTGGCCCAGGAATCATGCTTGATGTCAATGTTGCACTTTGCTTCTTCGCAATGTGAAACCATATTGAGTCGTTCGTCCCATTCATTGTTTGGATAGCCGACAGAGGGGGCTATTTATTTGTACAGCGCTCACTATGGATACGCACTTTTAGCCAATCAGGAGAACGCGCGTATCACGCGCGCGATCGATCGATATCAACGCGACGTGTGCACGTAGCTGGATTGTGCATGTAAACAGACGGAAATTCGAGACAAAACCATGTTCTTTTACACAAATCTGAACGATCCATATATTCCTAGACAATGCACTTGTAAAAAAGGGCCTACACAGCCTTCTTGGAAAGTCGGCGAACAAATTGACAACACAGAAAGTGCATTAATTTCCAATAAATGTGAGTGTTTGTTGACCGTTTCATTGTTTGCAATGACCGTTACCATTCATCAGTTGTGCGTATGTCGTCATATGATAATTCCATTATACTTCAGGGAGGATAGTATTACCTGAAGCGCGCAAACTTAGGCCTAGCCTACGCCTGATAACAAAAAAACAGGCCCTAGGCCTATGAACAACTTTGAAAATGTTTCACATCGTGGAGCATGCAAGATTATCTAAATTAAACTTTATGTAGAAATAGTTGGCAGTATTATTTTCTGAAAATAAAACCTTAAAAAAAAGGAAACAGTCCAGTTGACCAAATATGGTAACGGAATTCCCCCGTGGCGTACCGCTCCCAAAGTTAAAACGCTGAACTGCTGAAGTTCTTTTGAAAATAAAAAGTACTAACACAAAATTTTCCTACTGAACTTTTATTAAAATATAATTTGAATATTTGTGAGCTATTCTTTCATATTCCGAGTGAGCAAATTGCATAACAAGGTTCAATGGGACACGGCACGTCGCGAAAGAGCTGTGTTGTGATTCGCTTGAACGAAGACCCATAGAGAATGCGCGTATTTAGGTTGTAACAAGCATGTCGAACTTCAAACATAAAAGTACTTACACAAAATGTTCCGAGTTTGAAAGGATATTTTCACGACATGATCTTGAATAAATGTAGTTTCAGATACCGAGTGAGCAAATTGTGCCAAGTACTTCAAATGAGTGGTATAGAGTGATTTCAAAATGACACAGCGTACTCAGCATCAAATTCTACAAGCATTTCTCTGTTCTGCCATTGGCGGCGCTCCAATGAGACGCTTCAACTCGATATGCATGTACCTTTGCATTGTTAACTTTCGACCTTGCATCTTTTAAATATTATTATTGAACCGTGCTCATTCGTGATGTGTATTGAAAATATACATGTACATTTACATGTACATGACATGTAGCACACAGTCGGTTGGTGATAATTACCACGCACGACCCGACGTTCACTCGCACATTTTACAATTTTGGGTGCACGGACTGACGTCAATCCAAGCTATTGGCACGAATCTACAGTTTGCTCTAATTCATATTTTTCAATTTGATCTCGATCTAGATTCATAGGATCAGAGTGAACATTTCAACATGGATCAGAAGAAAAAGTGTAGGCCTAAAGGTAAGAACTTTGAGGGAATTATAATTATGGTCAAAAAAGTACACTTGACCAAATGTATCACGACTGCCCGCCCTGAAAGGTGTGCTCATCAACTATAGGCATTGCTTCTGCAGTCAGTTTTAGATTTAAATGGCCAATAAACGAAACAGACCAGTTCACTAATACATGCAGATTCATGCACGCACGCACGCAGGCAAACAGTGAGGCGGAAGTAAAATTGCCCTGTGTAAAAATGTATAGGGCTTTCGGAACTCAGCCGAATTTGCATGGTTTTATCGAATTTAGTCCATTTGTTTGCGGTTCATGAAATAGACGGAAAACCTGCATGGGCATCGCCAAGATTTTGTTGTGGACTAGATTCGATGCGAACGAGGCAAAATCGGTTGTAGCTCCGAAACCCCTGTACATTGTACACAAGGCAATTTTACTTCGCCTCACTGCGTACTCATGTGCGTCCGTGCATGAATCTGCATTGATTAGTGTACTGGTCTGTATCTCAGAAGCTGCCTTACATTGTATTAATACCTCTACGTAAAGGTTTAATGGAACGCCTTCACGATGGTGAGACGGTTATCTGCGCGGAAGGATATCTCTTCGTGTTCGAGCGACGTGGCTATTTGACAGCGGGGTCATTTGTACCGGAAGTAGTCCTCGAACATCCGGAATTAGTCCGGCAGCAGTATGAGGAATTCGTCCACGCCGGAAGTGACGTCGTGCTGGCATTTACGGTTTGTTTGTTTGTTTGTTTGTTTGTTTTGTTTTTTTTTTTTTTGGGGGGGGGGGGTTTGGCGACCGAACTGAAGAAAACGTTGACCACAATTCCTTTAACAATATCCACCACTATCCACCATCCAGTTTCAGTTGTTACCGCGGGTTTGAAAATGTAACATTGTTAACAAACCGCTCACCGCAACACATATTTTTTTTTCAGTATTACGCACATCGCGAAAAGATGGCACTGATTGGTCGAGAGGATGATCTGGAGCGAATCAACAAGCACGCACTGCGCATGGCACGTGAGGTGGCTGACCAAACTGGTACTCTGATGGCAGGTAACATCAGCAACACCAACATCTTTCTGGACAGCGTGCCCAATTATCGAGAGAAAATTTGGCAGATCTTTAAAGTACGTATGAAGTAAATCACAGATATATTTTTCGTACATCTAAATTGACAGTATCTGTTCCATTCCACCAACTCAAACATCTTTTATTGTCATTTGTGCATTTGTCTCGTTCGAAGCAACACAAATGCTCAAAAACTAAAGAAGGGTGCATAATCTGATGAAGTTTTAGCTCAGTGAATGCTGCGTTTTCCGAGAAAACAATATTCTAGGATCTCGATTTCAATTCAAAAGTTGCCGAGTCATGTTTTGAATTGCGCACGGAATCAGCATCCGGGACACGTTCTCATCCAGCCGATTGCAGCTACTGAACCGACGAAGTTTAGCAAGCGCACGCGTGTGCGTCTTGTCAACGCTTGCGCGACCTATTCACGGCTTCGCCGAATAAATTTCCAAAAAATGTGTCTTTAGACGCATCTTTGGAAAGGACCTTCTTCTAGTGTTTTCTTCAAAATGACAGCAGGCCAGAAAGAATAATTTCACATGGAGTTAAGTGCCATTACTATCTTTAAACCAAGAATGCCTTTCTTCAATCATTTCGTCAATAACCTTTTGGATAGCTGCAAATGATATACTCTACCTTTAACCACAAGCTTATCGAGTGAGACTTGAACCCCAAAAAAGTGTTGTGCTTATGCATTAGTAGGTTATCAATAACAATTTGATTTGTTGACATCAAGTTGTACGTAACTAGGGCCCTAGTTAGGGCCCAAAACCGAAACGCACGATCAGCAAATGAGCGTGACATTTTACTCTACGCAAACAGCGCAACGAGTGTGCGCATGTCCACTGCAGGACTGCTTTTTTAAAACCAATGACGTACTTAAGTTGTTTGCGTATGCGCTATTTGTGCGTTGCATCTAAAGTACACTTTCAAAATTCAATCCATCTCATTTCATTATGCTCTACAAATAGAACATCAAGTCAAAATGTCTGCGCCAAGGACGGCTTCAAGGCGTCTCCACGCGCAAGAATGAGGAGTTAGCGCTCTAGTAATTTAATATAGCTCTGTCAGTCATGTGGATGTCTTTAAGTGTCTTCACATGACTTGGTTGAGGAAAGTTTTACTGATCACTCGGCTTCCAAACACGCCAAACGAATACTCTCTGGCCAGTGTGAATACTCTGATGTTTGGTTAGATGGGTTTGTCGGGTAAAGGCTTTGCTACAGGTCTTACAAACAAATGGCTTCTTGTCATCAGGGCCATTGTGAAACCTTTCATGTCTGATCAGATGAGATTGGCGATTAAAAGCTTGACCACAGGTCTCAAAAAAATAAATAAATAGGGTCCTATGTTGCAGGGTTGGGGTTTGAAGGGCGTTTTAAGGCTTAGCTTCCATCACCGGCCGGTTTAAGTACCGGCTACTCTAGGCCGGCCCCTTTGAGGCCGCAATGATCCTTTGCCGGTATGTTTGCCCCTCTCGGCCGGTTCAAGTCCGGTCTTGCTCCAGTATCTCGATCATCGACACTTCAAAGTCACTCAACAAACAACCTACTGATATGCAGCCTGCCAGCCTCCAGAGTTGAACAAAGGGTTCTGAGCAGATTAGTGTCTATTGTGTAAACATGGTGTAAACACGCTTCCAGACTTTAGACTTTAACTAAACTTAATGGCGAAAGATACATACGGCAGTGTGACGTTTAAACTCTTTGAATTTAAGAATTACTTCTTTTTTACGCATTTTTATCAGCTGAGTTTGAAAATAAAGCAGAAAACCCGAATTAATCACCATAACGATTTACATGTAACTGGCTCCCGAGGAAAGTGGCAGGTTAATTGATAGCAGTCAGGAACTTTTAAGGCCTTTTTGTTGCACTTGGAGGATTAAGCGGATTAAGCATGAAACAATAGATCGTTTATAGCGGGTGGGTGTCTCTGCCAGAGTCTTGCCGGCTGCTCGGCCGGTTTGAAAAGGATTAAACTAACAGGCCGAGCTATATCGGCTGGCCTGTATTTAAACCGGCCGGTGATGGAAGCTAGGCCTAACGGATACTGCAATCGTTGTGCTCACGTTGTAATCTAAGGGGCGTTTTATTAAAAAAAAAAAAAATACGTCAATCCTGCCCCTTTGTCTCCGAACATGATGTACGTCTGACACATGTTTACAACTGGTTGAAGCAGTTTATTATTACAAAAGGCAGTTATTTATTGCTGATCGAATTAGGCCTATAATTATGAGTTTTCATCAATGGCTAATTGCTTGTACATCGAGAACCGTGCACATCCACAATATGAAACAGTCAAGTGCCGTGTCACGCGAAGCTAACTGGGCGCATTTCTCGTCCTTACAAACTGAAAGCAACGCGAAGCTAGCGAACGATGGCCGTAAAAAGGGCCCCAGAAAATTCGCGTTATTCATTCCCGTTATTGAGTCTGGTTGTTTGTTTTGTTTGTTAGTTTGTTTGTTGGGTTGTAAGAGTATTTATTTATTAGTTCGTTTTTATATTTGTGTATCTGTCTGGCTTGTCCAATGTTTCACTCTATGATTTTTTGGCTGAGTCTTGTCTCATCTCCCCCCGTCTTGTCTCGTCTCGTCATGTCTCGTCATGTCTCGTCTCGTATGATTTGTACAATTTACTTTTCAATAGTACTTTAATTTTTATGAATGGAATTTTAAATCTGTTTTATTGGCAGGGGTTTGGATGAATGTCTGATGACAATTGTTTTTTTTTTACTTTTACATATCCGTGGCAGCCTGTCCAACTTTTAGCTTTTATTTTATGTTTTAAGATTTAAAATAAAATAATTGAATCAAATAAATCAAATAAAGTTTCTTCAAGTCTTTATTACGCTGGAGATTTCCCGATCGCAGTACATATGAGAGGCAGCCCGAATAGGCGCGACCTAATCCGGCCAAATAACGATTTGTATACTAGTTTATCTGTATTAATAAAGAATTTTGGCCCCTGCACTTGAGGGTCTGTATTTGTAGAAGTGAAGGGTCCATGTTCCTGAATTTGGATTTCTGAACAAAACATTTGAATGGAATCTATATTGATATGGAGTGGAAGGAATCTGTTTTTTTTTTTCAAAATGGCGATGGGGTGATCATCGTTGGAGGGAAAAATCACCTAAAAGTCATAGGTCAACCCCCCCCCCCCCCAAAAAAAAAAAAATTCCAAAAAGGTAAAGAGGATTAATTCAGCTTTCATTTGATGTATATTTTGATCACCTGTGAGGGTTCAGAGTATGTTACCCGATTTGTTTAAATTGGGGTATTTATCTTTTGAAAATTGTCGGTTTGTGTATTATGAATATGATAAAGTGAAATTATTTATGCAGTATTTTGCCCATTTCCCTCAAAATTGCATATTGTAATATTGTACATTTTTATCAATTTGCTGGAATATGTGATACCTCACCAACAAGTATCTTTTAACGAAATTCAATCAGAATATTTATCAATTTTTTTATTTTTTTTTAGTTGTTGTGTTACTTGTTGGTGTCCCTGCCACTGTACGATGGTGTAGCCGTGCGTTATGCACGTGGATTGTGTACTTTCGTTTTGACGGGGACTTTACTGAATAGAGTCTGGTGACTGTACATAGAAATTTCCTTGAATAAAAGTCGAATCGTTCATTCATGTGCACTTGTTATGCAAAGCAGGGGCAGTGGTTCAAGGATATCTATGTCGACTTGCATAAAGTGTGCAGGAACGCGACTTGAATGCTTTTATGTGTTCACAATACAACGACGCTGTTTAGTTATTTCACTGTGTGACACAGTGAGAAATGTTGGAATCATAATGGCGTCAGCGATACTTGCTGGGGAGCTCTTGCGTACGACTTTCTGTACTTTGGTACTGTTGTTTCCAGGACAATTGTGTGTACGGTAACCCGACGTACCCAGATTTTTAAAGACGAAATTGCCGACCTCAAACTTGTTAGTGCCATATTTGGCAACTATATGTGCGTTATTAGTTTAATTAAACAAATGAACAGGTTAATTAAACATAGTACCATTGAAGGTACCTAAAAGTAAACATAACAGCATATAAGACCGACAGACGAACATAAAATGTCTGGATAATTTTTTAGGGCGTTAGGCCGGCAAGTTAACACAAACTTGGTGTCAAATAGATCATGGGAGTGACTTTTCTTTGACTTTTCATACAACTTTACATACACTTTAACTGTATGACCTGCAGTGGCGTAGCCGGGGGGGGGGGGGGGCTCCCCCCCATGAAACCTTGTCGCCCCCCCCCCCCCCCCAGTCGCCTCCCCCACTGACAGTACATACAGGGGACGAAGTTGGAAAAGAAACACGCATCGCGATATCGGAACGCTTGCGCGTAGTTCAGGCAAGTCAAAAGATCTATCTTTCTTTGTTTTTTTTTTATCTTTTTCCATGGAATTGAATTTCGTCTTTCAATTATTTAGGTTGACCAACCGACCCACAATTTGGAAAAAAGATCGAAATTTTAAAACATTGACAATTCTGAATGGCCCCTAATGTTCCCAACAACTACCACTTTTTATAACGCGAAAAGAGCACCACCATTGTATAACCGGTATGACCTTGTGACCCTAATACGCCCACTGATTGGTCGAGAACGAGATAGCCTGCTTAATATTCATCAGTCATTCATTGCACTTTCACGAGTGCTTTTCACAGGCCTACGTAATTGTACTTACGTACTTTTACACGCAAACATATGATTGCAAATAATGAAATCTCGCAGAAGTCTTCATTTTCAACCGGCGATTTCGACAAAAAAAGTATAAATGGCTCTTGCACGTGTTTCACATGTAAATGAAGCGTACACCATCCTCTACCTACTAAAACTTGCCATTTCTTTCGGGTTTTTTTTAAAGAATCGAATGTACACACAATCGGCCCTCGCTTTTGTTGCAAAAAAGTACGAATTTTGTTTGACGCGCCGTAACAACACTTCAATTTTGTCAAAGGCAGTTATATTTTGTATCAAATTTATATTTTGTATCAAAATAAAGCACACGATTTCAACTTTTTACTTGCTTCGCCATCTTTGCCGATAGTGGTACATGAGAGTAGTTTGTTGGTGTTTTCTGTCGTATTGAATGCACTCTCTCAAAATCTTGTGTAAGCTTTCGGACCATGCGTGCGTGACCCCGGGACAAGAAACTGAGGTCAGGGCTGTGCGCGTGACACGGCAACTGACTAAACAGTATTGACTGAGTGTGTGTTTTTTGTGTGTAAAATTTTGAATTGTTATATTTCCTTTTAAGGAACAGATAGAATGGGCTGTAGAAGCGGGAGCCGATTTCATTGTGGCGGAAACCTTTCCTCACTTCGGTGAAGCGTTAATGGCTGTGAAGGCGTGCAAGGAATTTGCAAAAGGTGCGTTGGTTTTAAATTGAGCTGACAAGTTATTCAGGATACCCTCATGCGTATGATAAAATGTACATGCTTGGGCAGTATTTGAGTAGGTTAATTCAGCTACACTATGTTAAAAAGATAGGAAGCGTGTCAATTCAAGTAAGATTTGAATAACGTACATGGCGCAAGTCCGTACACTTGGTTACGACCAGTCACGACGTGCTCTAGAACAGAGGTGAAAATATCACGTAAGCTGATTAAATATCTCTAGTTTTCGACAAAATCTAACTTGGGAAACAACATTGATTGTCTTGAAGACAATTTTGGTCTTTGGCAACACTGTTTACTCCATAATTTTTGAAACAAATTTTGAAACAAACTGACAAGGGAAAATGGCCGCCAAGAAGTCTACATACGCTGACGTCACAGCATCAAATCCGCTGGAGGTGGGAGATTGTAAGCCAGTCTTTTTCCGACATTGTGACGCAATACCTCAAGACGCCAAGCCACTCACTGGTGAAGAAGTCTACCTTGCTATCTCCGTCGACATGGACCCCAATCAGATTGGAGGAATCCAGCGAATTGGAGGCTTGTGGAGGGTGTACCTTGAAGATCGGGCCGATCGCATCATTTTGATCACCCACGGTCTGAAACTGAGGGGGAATACTGTCCCCATTTTCGACAAGAACCCTTTTCTACGTGGTTATTCTGACAACCAGCTCAAAGTTACCATCAGAGATGTACCGCTTTCAGCTGATGACAACCTAATACGAGAAACTCTTGAAAAGCTCAAATGCAAGCTCACGGGTCCAATCGTCCGACAGAAGTTGCGAGTTAACGGTAAGCTGACAAGATGCGATAACGGTGAGCGAGTTGCATACATTGAGGTTCCGCCGAAGTTGCTACCCCGTAAAGTGATGGCTGGCTCCTTCACAGCCAGATTATTCCACTATGGGCAAATCGACGACAGTACTCCCAACTGCTCGAGATGTCTGGATCAAGGTCACTATAGATCAGCCTGTCCTAATGACGTAAAATGCACTACCTGTCGTCTATCTGGACATATCAGTCGGGATTGTCCCAATTTCAATGGTGTCTCATCATCCCAACCTGTACAAGATACCTATTATCAACCTACACAGAATAGCCAACATTCGGGTGCAACAGAGCGTGCCCAACGAGAAAGGTCACCCCAAGAGGACACACCGCCTTCCACCCCGAAGACCCACAGCCGACTACACAGCAGTCTAAGATCCCAAACTGTGTACGTCGCTCAAAACGCACTCGTATCAGTTCCAGCCAGTCAGTGCCAGACAACAACGACCCAGGCCTACATGTATCCGATGACGACAACATCATGGATACTAACAAGACAGTCATGACCGACGGGCAAATGACACGAGAACTTTCACATCCCAGTGACATAACTTCAAATGTACCAGCCAACCAAACAAAGAGCAAGAGCAACCCAACAGAACAAAGACGCCGACGTCGCCACAATCGAGCCTCACATTAAGACACTAAGTATAGTGACTATATTTCTAACTTTGCTGATGAAAATTCATGTTATTAATTGCGATGTGTTTTAATTTGTTTCGTAACTCACCCCAGTGATGCATACACTTCATATTATGTCACTCAACGTTAGAGGTATGAGAAATAAGGACAAGAGAAGGCAACTGTTTCAGTGGATAAGATATCAACAAGCAGATATTTCCTTGTTGCAAGAAACATTCCTTAGCCAAGACATGTAGACAATTATCAGCCTCGATTGGCAAGGTAGCTGTTTTCACGCCTATGGTACAAACCACAGTCGTGGAGTCTCTGTATTTTAAGTAAGATGTGCAACATTGATGTTATCAATCACCAAGGTAGTGAGGATGGTCGTATAAAGATCTCTTAAATTGTAAAATCAATGAGGAGAGCTTTTGTATTGTGAATGTTTACGCTACCACAGTATCTCAGTACAAAGAACAATTCTATAAAACACTTACAAAGTGGATTGAAAGGCACAGAATTAACAATGGTAACTTGATAATCGGAGGTGATTTCAACTGTGTACTTAACCCGATGGTTGATGTAAAACCCAAGAGCAGCAATTATAAGAGGGTCCAAGCATTGTGGAAACTTATTGCGAAATTCGATCTTTGTGATATTTGGAGAAAAATGCATCCAGATACAAAGCAATTTACGTGGAGACATTTAAGTCTGAATATTGCATCCAGGATTGATTTTTGGTTAACTACAAAGAATATTCAGAATTGTGCAGTCAACTGCGACATACGTCCAGCATTTAAAAGTGACCACAATGCTATTTCACTAAAAATAACCACTCAGAATAATCCCAGAGGTCCAAGGTACTGGAAATTCAATGCTGAGCTGGTAACCAATCCTCGGTATAAAAATATCATACAGAGCATAATTCAGCAGTGTAAGACAGATGAACAAGTGTACTCTCAGACAAAGCAAATCACATGGGAAATGTTCAAAAAGAAAGTTAAGGAAAGTTCTATCAGATTTTCAAGGACCATGGCAAGTGAAAAAAGTACCAGCACTGACAAACTGAGCAAAGAGCTGCTTGACTTGCAGGGTAAATGGGACAATTCCCACAACGAAAAACTGAAGCTTGAAATCAGCAAAAAAACAGGCTGAGCTAGAACGAATAATTGCCTACAAAACAAAAGGTGCCATCATTCGCTCCAGAGTGAAATGGTTTGGAGATGGTGAAAAAAAAACACTAAATATGTCATAGGCCTTGAAAAATTTAGGGCTAATAAAAAGGTGGTGGTGTCCCTAAAAGCAACAAATGGTAAAGTTGTTCACCATCATGCCTCCATTATGAAAGAAACTCTTAACTATTATACGGAGCTATATTCATCATAAAAACATTCCTGATGAAAACATTGATCAGTATTTAAATGGCATCATGAGTGATCAAAAACTGAATGAGGAAGACATGAGTCGCTGTGAAGGCTTACTGACTGTTAAAGAATGTGAAGATGCGCTATTCGCTATGAAAAAATAACAAAGCTCCTGGGCCCGATGGGATTTCTGTCGAGTTTTACAACACTTTTTGGCATGACATAAAAAACATGTTGGTCGACTCCATAAATGAAGGTTTCGTGAAAGGGCAATTTTCCACCACACAGAAAAGAGGTATTATTTCTCTAATTCATAAGAAAGATGAGATAAATAATCTGGACAACTGGAGGCCAATAACACTCCTTAATTATGATCATAAAATTCTTACAAGTGCCCTAGCTACAAGACTTCAAAAGATCCTGCCTCGTATACTTAACGAGGACCAATGTGGTTACTTAAAATTGCGAATTGCGGGACAAAACATTCGCCTGATTCAAGACATTATTGAAATGCGCTTGGATAAAGGAACTGAAGAAGCCATTCTTTTCTTAGACTTCAGAAAAGCGTTTGACACAATTGAGGTTAACTTCATTAAGAAAGCGTTGGAGTTTTTCAACTTTGGTCGGTCTCTATTAAAGTGGACAGATGTTTTGTACAATAACATAGAGAGTTGTGTCACACAAAATGGCTGGTTGTCAAACTATTTCAATGTTACTAGATGCATCAGACAAGGCTGTCCTCTATCAGCATTACTGTTTATAATTGCTGCAGAAATGTTGGCTCTGAAGATTAAAGCTAACGAAAACATCAAAGGTATCTAGATAGATCTTGATGGAAAACTTACGGAAATTAAAACCGCCCAATACGCCCATGAAACTACCATCTTTGTTAGCGACAAAAACTATATCATGGGTGTACTAAATGAAGTTGGTAATTTTGAAAAAAGTGGCCGGTTTAGAGATTAACCTCAATAAAACAGAAGGTCTATGGCTAGGCAAAGGTAATAATAATTGTGATCTTGCCGGTATAAAATGGCCAGTGGTCCCAAGCTTAGGTGTGTATTTCGGCAGAAACCAAGAGAAGTTGAGAGAGCTGAATTGAAACAGTAAGGTTACCAAGTTAAAAAGAATCTTGAATGCTTGGAGAACTAGACACTTTACAATTTTTGGTCGAATTACAATCGTTAAAACACTCGGTGTTTCTCAAATTATGTATAATTATAGTGTGTTGCATGTACCAGACTCAGTCATCAAAGCTGTAAAACGAATGCTCTATCATTTTGTTTGGAATTCAAAGTGTGAAAAGGTGAAACGAGACACAATGATTGGTGACTATAACGAAGGAGGGGTGCGTATGATTGATATTCAGTCTCAAATTAAAGCACTGAAGGTTATGTGGGTTAAAAGATTGTGTGACAACACTCAAGGATCCTGGAAATGTCTAGCTAAGAAAGTTCTTTCTCCGTATGGAGGAGTTCCGTTAATATTTCAATTTAGCCTTCCTGCTGATATTGTTAAAATGTTGGATATATCAAGTTGTTATGTACCTAGGTTATATACAGATTTGTCACGGTTCTGGTTCGAAATCAAAGATCAAAATATCGGTGTCTCTAGCTTCAGTAGCTTGCAACTCGATCCCACGGAAATAGTGGGGTAACAGTCTAATACGCAGTAATAGTAATCCGATTATCCTCAAACACTGGATTGAATCAGGTATTGTGTTTGTAGGAGACCTTTGTCCTAATGGTTTTGTTCCTTGCAAAGACAGGACTCTTCTTCCAAGCCGGGAGTCTACCGCATTCCATGTGAATGTGGCAAAGTCTACATCGGCGAAACCGGTCGGAACCTTCCCACTAGGCTCAGGGAACACAGAGCACATGGACGGCGAAGGGATTTTGACAAATCTGCCATTGTCAAACATTCGCACCGATCCAGTTCTGGCACCCAACTCGCATACGGGAAACCATCGAGATCCGCAAGCACAACACAGTTCCACAAGACATCAAATGTCACCTCTACGACATCTTGCTCCCACTCCTCCAGACTGATGGGTCTCCTATGCCCTAGGTCCTCAGCTACCACCTTAGACTGATGGTCTCCTATATACAGCTACTTGGCATCCACACAGGATGCAACTTCACACTTCATCGATTTCGCTTTGCTACTTAAGTATTTTCTTTAACGTCGAATTTATACCTCTGGTTCTTTTCAGAACTATTCTGTTAGTTGAGAAATTATTCGCACATGGTGTTTCCGCAAACCTTTCATTATTTGTGTCAATTCAACTGTCTTTATTGCACGTCAAATACCAAATCGTTGGCCACTTGACATTTTTTACTAGTCAAGACTATATCTGATTTAGAGCAGATACCAAAGTTAAAATGGTCTTGCTTTACGCGCAGATATTCCCTGCGTGGTGACATTGTCGGCCGTGCATTGCCAAGTGAACGGGAAGCCGGCTACTGTGGACGACGTGGATATCGTCGACGCGTTCAACAAGCTAGCGGAGGCGGGGGCTGACGTGGTGGGGCTGAACTGCTCGCGGGGACCGGCCACCATGCTGCCAATTCTGGAAGAAGCCATCAAGGACTGCAAAGTGAGATCTGCAGTCTGCACCCGAGTTTTTGTTCTTTTATTTATTTATGATGGGATTCCAACTGCGCCTGCGTTAATTGACATAGGTTATCATGGGTCGTTCTGGATAAATATAACAGCGATCTCATAGATATGAGCCGTATTGGTTATCTGTGGTTCTTTCTGCAATAAAATTGCGTAAATGCCACTATTTACATTTATTGTTGTAAGATAAGAAGAAAGCTTTGGTACTTGAACGTTGCCATACGTATTTAAACCAGACCTTTTAAGGCGTCCCTCCCCCTCAGAGTATTATAACGCTTAAAAAAATCTCTTGCAAAAGAAAGTTTGCAGGTTTGAGTGACTCGTCTTTAACCGGTGCCTTTTTAATGCGCCCCTCCCCTCGAAGTGTTACAGCGTTTATAAACTATTGTAAAAAGCGTTGAACGTTGTAGTGACTTGTCTTAAGCCCAATCCTTTTATAACGTCTCTCATCTTCATCGTGAAAAAAAAACGTATTTAACTGTTCCAAAAAGGCATTAAGAATGCGTTCAAACGATAAACACCTTTTTTTGTATATTTCTTTAACACCACAGGCACCCCTAGCCGCTGTTCCCGTTATGTACCGCACAACTAACGAGGAACCGAGCTTTATTTCTTCCAAGGACCCTCTGACAGGTAAAATTCTCACTTATAAGCATTACTCATGTCCATTTATAATAGGTCGGGAAGAACCATTATCGCGCAAGGAACACCCCAGTTATACGTTCAAAATTATTCTATTAGAGGGATTTTGAGAGCCATGCAGGAAATTGGGGGATTGAGGACATATGGCATTGCACCACTGGCCTGGTCCAGCAGCTTCCAATTCTGATGAGTTTGGATGCAATGGTGTCCGAAAGTGAAGTTATTGAGCCATGCTATCGAGGGATCCTTCTTCAAGATGGCAACTTTTTCAGTTTGGGAAACATCATTCGTTTTTTTAGGGCTTGGGAGAGAATATCTCAAACAGTCATTGGTCAACTAACCAAAAAATGAACGGAACATGAAAGATGACATGTTGATCATCTTTTTTTTTGTACAGCCCGAACACCTGTGAGAGTTTTGAGTATTTAAAACAAAATGAAATATAGGGATTATCACTGGTCTCATTGGGAATGTATTTGCTTTAATGGGTGCACTCTGCTGAGGTTTTAAGCAGTTCATTTTTAAATGACAGGGGGCGCTAATACTGACGCCATTTTGGGGGTTGAAACCGTTGCGAATCCAATGTTTTGGGGGTATAAGTTTAGCCACGGCTAAACGAAAATACGATTTTACACTTTTTACATAAAGTTCAGTAAATTTACGAAACAGCTGGAATTTACGAGAGTTTGCTAGTGTTTGTACCCAAATATTGGCGGTGTTATAGTTAGACCGCCCCAAGTTAGATAGCGCGCCTCTATTCGTTACATTGCCCCCATGGCCTATTGACTTCTTGTTTTAGTACTAATGCCCAGTGTCCATCTAAAATGTTCTCGAATCCCTTGCGTACTGCCAAGAGCCTTGAATTGGTATTTTTTCCTTCTTTTTCAAGGTGAGCCGCTGTTCCCTGTGAATCTGGACTGCATCCAGTGTAACCGTAAGGACATCCACGACTTTGGCAAGCGAGTGCAGGAGCTGGGCATCAAGTACGTGGGTCTGTGTTGCGGCAACTCGGCTCACCTGACCCGGAGCCTGGCCGAGAGTTTGGGCCGAAAGCCCCCGGCCTCCCGCTACTCGGCAGACCTGAACAAACACTGGCTGCTTGGACATGACGACAAGTTGCCTTTGCTGGAGCAAGAATCCAAGACTAAGTATACTCTCAGATTGACCAAAGTTGAGTAATAAACAAACATTGACCTACTTACACAACTGAAATATAGAAAAACATATGCCTTGATGACTAACAGGTTATTTTTAGCAGGCCTTGGTTCTTCATTCAAACTAAAAGAGTCAATAATTTTTAGAAGAGACAGTAGGATAAAAATTACATTTATTTCTGTTTGAAACTTCAAACAGTACAGAAATAGGTACATTCACTCTTTATTAGCAAATGCCAAGCATACGATGACCGACCATCAACGTATAATTGTTCTAATGGCGTCTGGGATTATCGTTAAGTCTTCAACTTTGTTTTAACGGTTTTTTTATATAAGGACAGGATGGTACAAAAAGAAACAACGTCTGATTTTAAAACATGCAGATTGAAAAAAAAGATATTTAATCTTTTGCTTCCTTGAGATAATACCATTATTAGATTGGAGATCAAAGGGTAACAGTACTTCCTGAATAAAAAATGTATTAATTGCTGAAGGGGCAATCTTACTTGGGTCACCCAACGAGGAACATTTTCTGAGGACAAAGCTTTTGGGGAAAATAGGAACCGCACCTATGTCGATGTCGTAGATGAATACCACTGAAAACAAGGTGGTGTTAAACTTAAGAATCTTCTTTGCACTGATGAAATCTCACACATTCCGGAGTGCAGATATTTCTGTCCTCCAAGCAATAGTGTTCATATCTTTCTTCGAAAAAAAAAGAAAAAAAGAAAAAGAAAAAAAAAGATACACCCCAAACCGAAAAAAAGTGACGACACAATTGCGTTATTATAATATCTCGTTATTAATGTACATTGCCCGTCAGTATTTGAGATTTTAGCTGTGAATGTTTAATCATTGCATTTCAAGAATATTAACATCCGTTAAAGATAGGAAAATCCTCGACTAGCCTCATTACACCGTTTAGAAATAGCTAACGAATTTTGACTTGAAAAAGTGTTGTAAATATCAACAGGAAACATCGTTTGAATTTTACAGAGTAGTTTTAAATGAAATCAATTATAGCAGACCTTGTTAAAAAAAACTGCACGTGTCGGAGCTTAGTGAGAAACAACATTTTTACCGTTGTTTGAAATTCTTTTCTGATTTTGGGGGTGCGGATTTGATTCAGTCTTTTAATGCTGACATAATTCAAATAACGCTGACACCAGACGTAAAGCGTAAACTCTGCATGAAGTTCCTCGCGATGGGGACACTGGCAATTATATGGAAACACAACCTCATTAGCTGTCAAACAAAGTGGACTGATGTAAACTCTGTAGATCAAACGATCCAGAGTAGTGGAATTAGATTTGTACAACTAGATTCTTTAATAAATCTGATGACTTGAATTTTTTGTAGACGATATGTGCATTTCATGTGCATTGTTTATTTGTTTAACTGGCTGGGTTTTTGTTTGTGAGCAGGAGGGTACTTTCGTAACAGATTACCCCTTCACGCCATTGTCATTTGAGTACCCCCCCCCAAAAAAAAATATTTGGAATGACTGCCCTTTTCCATTCAAATGCCTTCTTTTCACCAGCGCTTAACCATCCCCCCCCCCCCGCCCAATAATTTATAAAAAAGTGGCTTTTTTTTAAGAAGTGCCTGTTTTTTTTCCTGAACAAGTGGTTGGAAGTGCGTCCACAAGCAGAAAGTAGAGTCCAAGGTGGATGAGCATACAAAGCATGGGATCGAATCTCCGGACGATACGGCGTCTGAGCTGAGGGGAGTAAAACCCGAGGATCAGTAGAGCTTCCGAGACAGCCGGCCACTGACACCAAAGTGTTAACCACCGTTTCTTCCATGCTACCCCAGGACATAAAGGACGCGGCGACCGGGACGGGACACACGCACGACACTTGGTGTCATTGCTGACGACGATGACATTGCCCTCACACTCCACGCACAGCAACACTTCACCTCATCCTCGATGAAATCTGTTCCGGAGCCGACCCAGTCTAGGAGCTAGACGTTGTTATGGTTTACACTCGATAATCCGCCACCGCAATAACCCGCCGCCACGAGAGGGCGTTATCACAACCAACCAGCATCATCCACAAGCTGTCAGTAACAATGTCTAGGCCAATTCGTATTGGTTGTTTAATGCGCGCGAATCCGTTTGGCCTAATGTATGTGCGCATTCAAACAAAAATAGGTTTCCCCGGCTATTTAAAAAAATTTTTTCACTCAAATTCACCAACTCTAACATTCAATTTTGCCAAAGAACAAAAATTACACGCTTAAATTAAACCAATTTAGTCATCAACCATTCAATTTCAACGTTTGGTCACCCACTTTAGTCACTATCTTTAGTCACCAAATTCGTCTAAGTTGTTGCCGAATGGCAGCATTCAGATTTCGAATCCGTCTTATATAAATCAATTATAGACGAGTTTGATATCTGAATAACAAGGTTTGGTGTGGACGAAAACGTGTGCTCGTCGTTTGAATTTGCTTGAACTAAATTTGAAATGTCTGACAAGAGACAAAATTTAACATTGGAATCACTAAATCGAAGTTGCTGGATGAATTTGAATATTATAAACGGTCTATGATCACAGTTTTTAAATAACCGGGAAAACATGTCAGTAGTAGTTCTGATTTTTGTACCATCACAAATGCCATCATGAATGGGTATTTAGGGACGGTACCAATTATTTCAAGTCCGAATATCTGTACTTTCCGGATAACAGATATTTTGTCCTAACTTTGAATAGTCGGATAAACTTAAATGGGCTTAGACTGTTTCAATACCGATTTATTGGGAGCGCTAATGAAATACATTTAGGAATCCCTACACCAATCTATGTAATCAGAAGTGGACTTCATTTCAAATCCGGATATCCGTACTTTCTAACAGCCAACAGTTTCTCCTATCCTGTCTTCCGTCTAACCACGAACAACTGCACTCTATTATGCATGTCTCCAAACCCCACCAATACATTAAGTTTTTCTTACCCATCCAGTATGCAGTATTGCATTCCATGTTAATATTAGCAAATTTGAAAAGAAAGGATTATTTTTGAGAAGCCGGGACGTAATAATTACCAGATATTTAGGTAAAAACACTATAATTTGAGTGTAAATAAAATCATTTGTATATATTTAACTGCTGGTAATATTGGGGCAACAAATATCACATTGTAAAGAGGGACACCAAAATTCATTGGCCCCCACATTTACGGAATAAGCCACATTGGCGTTACGGGGTATACTATACGATAGCACTGCCGGCTATATAGGCTCACCGTTGCCAGTCTGTCAGTCAGTGAGATGGGTACACTGAGGACATGGGATGGCCATCTTGGACTGGCAAAAGGTAAGGGTAAGCGATCGACAAGTTGACTGACCGTCCGACCGACCGACCGACCGACTAACTGCAAGGAAGGAAACGTATCTTTGGGGAGTGTTTTTATTATTGACCGTTTTTGAGAGTGGCACGTTTGGAATTTTACAAAGATTTTGTTTCCATCTACATGCTGACGTGATGACAATAGTTCTCTCGTAAGGGCACCTTAGCTACCAACACATTTCAAAAGAGGTAAACCAATTCATTATGTATCTTCTGTGGAAACGGACTTGGTTAACCCCATGCGTACAGGAAGCGGTCATGGCCGCGGTCGCTAATCCTCATTGGAATGCAGTTGCCAACTGTGGTATGCCGTGGCACGCGGCTAGTGGGTCGTTCCACAGCTGCTGCTTTTGTGCAGTCCCGCTACCACACAAAGGCTGTGCAGTCATGCGGGCCACTTGCTCTATGTGTGGAGGAATGTCCCCATTACACCCCGTCCTTAAGGGGTTTTTTAACAAGCTAAACAGATGAGGCAAGATAGCTGAAGGAAACACATAAAGGCCTACCTTAATGTTCCAAAGAATATTCAAAACACATCAGAAAAATACACGAATAATACTTTGAGTCCGCAGAAAGTACATATGTTAATGTTCTACTCAATGTTTTGACATGAGGCCCACAGTTTGAAGAGTGATTTAAAGATTTGTCAGCTGTAATGTTGCATTGCTAGGCAGAGTAATAAACGCATCGAGTGCTGACCTCCTTAAACTGCTCCGGTTCATCGGCGCGATTTGCATCATTGAGCTGGCACAGTTTCTGTTCTTGTTCGGTTCCCTTGATGTTGAAGGAGCGACATCCAGGTTCCTTCAGGCAGGCAGAGGCGCATCTCGAGGCGCTCTTGGTGACGAGTTCTCTGATGACATGATCGACGAGGCACCAGTTGAGTTGCTGCTGAGTGTTGTCTCGAGAAAAGCTTAGGTTCTGAATGTGGGCAGAATTTATTTGTGGTGATGGCAGAACGCACATAGCTTGCGGTTGATCTGTGCACAGTACGTCATTCCATCCGCGTCCGGGGGCTGTTGTATCAACATAGGCGCAGTAGTCATCAGGAAGTTCGACACCATCCTTGATGCTTGGTTCCCCCGGACCCCAGTTTGTGTACACCTGATCGACTTGCTTCCCATCGCACCTCCATGCTCTATCAATGAATTTGCAGCCAACCCACAATCGGGTGTTGCCTGCGTTCTTTGCCGTGTTAGCAATGAATGTATTCTCCTCTTCTGAACGAGGAGCAGCCATCACCGCACCCATGTCACGGCAACTAGCCTGGCCTTCGTCCCAGCTCGCAGCCAGGCCGGTGAGACGGTAGCAAGATGAGCCCCAAGGAATCCACAACTGCGGGCAGTCTACGACAGTCGAAGATGGGGTGCAGAAATCGAAACAAATCATCACAACAAATGCGAAACTGACGCCTAAAACTGGGATAACTCTGGCACCAGACATATCTGCTTGAACTATGTTGGTGGTCAGAAACAAAAACAATCACAAACATTTGATTTGCTAGTAACGTTGGGCAGAGAAATTTGTTTTAAATTACGCGAAATCCAGTGCAATTGCGATGTCCAATAAAATCCCTATAGTCGCCTGACTCGTGCGTTGTCACTCTACTAGCGTGCTTACGTTTGCAATGAATTCAACACATCGGTTTGGCTGATATAGGCCTATCTCAGCTGTCTTTGAGGCGCTGCTTCTCGTGGTGTCTTCACACATTTAAGCTACGCGCGTCATCATGCTCATATTTATCGTGTGCGCCTTAAAGGTAACGTTCGAAAGAAAGCGCTGATTTAGGCCCCGAAAATTGTATTGGGAAAAATATCATCGAAAAAATAGAAAACGAACGTCCACATCAACATATACCTTTGTCTGAATACCATAAGAAGGAATTTGGGGGTAAAGAGCAATTTCATGCGGCGCCAGTCTTTGTTGACATCTTGCTGAAGATTTGATGCTTGAAATACGTATATCCACGATACCTAACCCCCGGCAATGTCAGTTGTAAAGAAACAGGGTTCTCCCTAGCTGAAAGGTATGTGGGCATTGTATGGTTTTCCAGTGGCCAAGAACTTTATGCATAATAACATAAGTAAACAATGTAAAACCTGATTTAGTTTTTAAATCTGGTCGGATGTGCACCTTTAACGTATCCTCGCAAGCAAGTAGACTGACTATGACTATTTCTAACATAGATCGATGTACAATCGCTCGGTTCGTGAATGACATCAACAAGTTCTTGCCGCATCCGTGGTACAATACCGTGAGAAGGCTACGTTCAGCATCATGGCAGCAAGATTATGCGTCATATTTGGCGTCACTTCGTTGCTAGGCTGCATTACCACACTTGTTAATATCTTTGTTCGCACCGGTGCAGTTATTAGTGATCAGGCCGATAAGCATGATGCCAATTTCAGTTATTGATTGACTGCAATAGAAGTAACCCATTTTTTTGTTCAAGGATGAGTAATAATCTGCCATGAGGCCAACAAATCTATAGAGACCAAAGACTTTCACGGTAAACTGAGGTTAGCAATATTAAACATAAGACGATATTTTAAGACAGAAGATCTACAAAAATTCTGCTTAGTCAAAATTAATAACAAAAAAGTAACCCTTCACCTTTTTTTGTTTTACTAAAGTCTTGCCATACTGCAATAATTTCCATCACATCTATTCATTGTTTTTTCTTTCCATTGTCTTTTTGAGGGTTTCAAATATTGATCTCCCCCCCCCCAATATTTGACGAGGGTGTGGCATGCAAAAGTACAAAGATCATATTTAAAGATAACTTTTTGAGCAATTCGTTCCCAAATACTAATTATTGGTTGTTAACTTGTTCAAAATATGCACTAACGTCTCAATTGTAGGTCAGGCAGCCTCAGCTCCGCGACTAAAAGTAAACATGACGACATTGTTGGCTCTTTTTCAAAACTCGGCTTCGTTTCCGAATTCGCTTTTCATCACGTATAGCTTTATAATGTTCAGGTAAAAGTCAAAAACATTACCTGCTTCATAATAC